AGTGAGTGGGCAAAAATATGCGGTCAGCTGCAATTCAAATTAACAGCTACAATTTTAACAACATTCATTAATTAACTTCCAAGTAACACTTATGTTCAATTATCGATATCTTCGTGAATAAACAAGTGAGAGTCCATCTATAAAGAGATATGCATGTGTTCAGTAGTGACGGAGATGTTTGTGCACAATTTATAAAAAAAATACCTAATACTACTTTTTATTTTAGCAAGTAAGACCCACTGTGCTGTATATCTCTTTTTCGGAAGAGACCTGGTCACAAATGATAGCTCAACAAAGTGGCTTGTCATGTGGAATGTATAGCAGCCAAATGATATATACACATGTTTCTAAATGTGGAGGGAAAACTGGAGGACCCGGAGAAAAATCGACGCAACCACGGGGAGAGCATGCAAACTCCAAATATACAGCAGGCATCATGGGTTGGGTCGAACCCGCGACTTTCTGAATAACCAGGCGAGGGAGATAGCCCCGTTTAATATTGTCGACAATGGCTAAGTCATTTTTCTTTTCGTAAAAGGAAACTAAAACTGACTAAAAGAAGACAGACCCATTAAGCTTATTTATGGATATACATTGTTCGCCAAGTTCATAGAGAGCCTAATAATGGACGGTTTAGATGATAGCCAAACTCATGAGCAAGCTGTATTTTTTGTTATGTTTTAGACCATTGACCACATGCATGCCATCAATCAGATTAAATATCAGATAAATATATATAAAATACCACAATACCTGGCTTTTGTAGATTCAAATAATGTGTAAGGTTACATGTAAACTTAAAAAAATGCTTTAGAGAGATAAAGGCTGGAACACAAATTGTAGGAGTCATAATAAACTTCAGATTTGACTAGCTCCTGGACTGTCCTATCATTCTGATTAATGAAATGTGGACTTTTCACATCCATATATTTCACAAAACGTGGCTGAATATCTCTGAAAAAAATCCATCTCAAGTGCATGGGCAGTTTACTGCAATCCAAAGTACGCAGAATTGAGCAATCGTTGTTGTGAAGGGGAAACAACCATTAAGCTCATGAGAACTCTTAAATTACGCGCTTAAATTCCAAATGTGACGTGGAAATATGCGCATGCGAAGCAAATGAACGACAAATATTTATTGAGCAAGACCCTGTGCAGTGTCAGATCGATGCGCGTGTGTAGGATGTGGGGACGTTAAGATGATGTAGGGGAGAGTGGAACAGCAGGAGGAATACAAACGTACGCAAGGTATTTGGCAGATTTGAACTTTGTTTTGAATTGAAATTGGCGCCACTCACATTGAGCCGAGGGAACACGGCGCCTTTAAACCTTGTTTTATATATTATAAGGAAAATAAATGCTGACACATGGGGAAAACACTGCAACCTTTGTTTATCCAGATGAACTTTGCCGTTAAAGAACGATGTTGTGTTGCCAAAGTGTGCAGTGTGTTCCTCCCAATCTTGTTTGTTTCACTCAAGAGCCATTGTGTTGCTTTATCGTGTCCACGAGTTCATTGTCATCTGGTGGCTTGTGCTATATTAAAATTAGCAACGGTGGAACGGTTGGCCACCGGCCCTGACGATCTTATGACTCCGTTTTAAGAATCAGTTTATTTATTTTCATTGCGGAGAACGGTGGCAACTGCGGTGGCCGCAGTTGTGATGTGAACCCGTTTCAGACAAACATATATACGAACTGAACAATTAGATTATAACTGATGCGCAATTGGATGAGCGTAACTTGAGCTTACGCATTTACATTGAGTTGACGAACCGATGCATCATTCCACCCCTGCACACGACCAACAGGTCGATTTGTGGAACTGTCAAACCCAACGAGCTGCAACGTGGCCAGCAGATACCAAATATACTGATGGGCTCATGATGCCATGGGCTCATGATCCCATTCGTCCAGACCTTTGTGAATTATCCCCCAATGTATATCTGGTGGGTTTTCTCTCTGGACTCCACTTTTCGGCCCCCGTGAAGCATCACGTGAGTTATATAAAGGGTTATTATTCAAGCACGTCAACAGAGGGTCCTCCTTCCAACTCAGCGAGACGTTTCTGGATAAACAGATGATTTATCTAGCGCTCAAATAGCAGCAACAACAACAGCAGCAACAAAAAAAAACATGCAGCCGAATCAAGATCTGCATTGCTACGTCAGTTTAAAAGCAGTTTCAAAATAAATCACGATGCAATACATTTCAATCCGATCTCAATCGATCGGAATTGATTCAAAGGACCGATCCAGATCAGATTGCAGACGCGTGGATCAGCAGATTGCGTTTACGGTTGCGAATCAGGACCACGTCATCGTTTGGTAATTAAACCCGTACCGGGCATCCCAACCCCCTCCTATCCCCCCCCCATCTTCACCCCTCCCGCACACCGTAAAATCATATTTAACATCACAACACTGCTCTGTGTGAGTGTGCAACTTTTTTTTCCACATGCTCATAGGCGGCCAACAACCTAGCCCAATGTGTTTTCCCTTTCCTTTAAACCACATTGGTGTGAATATTTCTAAAGTTATGGAAATTCCTAAACAAATGGAGTCGAAGCCCTTCGACAGTGATTGATGTTGTGGTCAACATTTCCTGTAATTCTCCATGCAATTACAGACATTCCTCTTTGCTAAAAGGTACTATTAAATCCAGCTACTGTGCATAGCTGCCCCGTACAAACTGTGAAAGGGAATGACGTAAACACATTTGTACTTTTTTTAACGCATGAATCATGTCACTGATCAGTATTCTTTTCCTCCAATGAAGATGTATACTTTAGTAAGCGTGTCAACTCCATGCCAAGCATAACTCCATCTCCATTTTGATCCCCATTAAAAGCACAGCTAGCCACAAGTATGGCATTGATTAAATCCAGATAACTATTTTTCATCCACACGTAAAACGAGGCTTTAGAATAAAATAAATACAAAATATCCACAGAATGCTGTCCCATTACACTTAAAGGACATCACAAGTCAGGCCACATAGGATACCACCCATTGATTTGAAGGATGAGTTAATCTGACATGCAAGTTATACAACAGGGAAGTGTTTTCAGCATTTTTGGTACGATAGACCCCAATCTAAACCACCCCATCCTCAACCTCATCCTCCTCTCTCCACCCTTTTCCCCTGCCCTACAGCACTTGTGCTCCCCCACCCCGCCCTCGCATCCATGTCACGACGGAGATAAAGCATAGCATGGTCACATGTACAGTGAGGGAAAAAGTATTTGATCCCCTGCTGATTTTGTACGTTTGCCCACTGACAAAGAAATGATCAGTCTATCATTTTAATGGCAGGTTTGTTTGAACAGTGAGAGACAGAATAACAAGAAAATCCAGAAAAACGCATCTCGAAAATGTTATAAATTGATTTGCATTTTAATGAGGGAAATACGTATTTGACCCCCTCTCAATCAGAAAGATTTCTGGCTCCCAGGTGTCTTTTATACAGGTAACGAGCTGTATAAAAGACACCTGTCCACAGAAGCAATCAATCAATCAAATTCCAAACTCTCCACAATGGCCAAGACTAAAGAGCTATCCAAGGATGTCAGGGACAAGATTGTAGACCTACACAAGGCCGGAATGGGCTACAAGACCATTGCCAAGCAGCTTGGTGAGAAGGTGACAACAGCTGGTGCTATTATTCGCAAATGGAAGAAACACAAAAGAACTGTCAATCTCCCTCGGCCTGGGGCTCCATGCAACATTTCACCTCGTGGAGTTGCAATGATCATGAGAACGGTGAGGAATCAGCCCAGAACTACACGGGAAGATCTTTCAATGATCTCAAGGCAGCTGGGACCATAGTCACCAAAAAAACAATTGGTAACACACTACGCCGTGAAGGACTGAAATCATTCAGCGCCCGCAAGAACCCCCTGCTCAAGAAAGCACATTTACATGCCCGTCTGAAGTTTGCCAATGAACATCTGAATTATTCAGAGGACAACTGCGTGAAAGTGTTGTGGTCAGATGAGACCAAAATGGAGCTCTTTGGCGTCAACTCAACTCGCTGTGTTTGGAGGAGGAGGAATGCTGCCTATGACCCCAAGAACACCATCCCCACCGTCAAACATGAAGGTGGAAACATTATGCTTTGGGGGTGTTTTTCTGCTAAGGGGACAGGCCAACTTCACCGCATTAAAGGGACGATGGACGGGGCCATGTACCGTCAAATCTTGGGTGAGAACCTCCTTCCCTCAGCTAGGGCATTGAAAATGGGTCGTGGATGGGTATTCCAGCATGACAATTACCCAAAACACACGGCCGAGGCAACAAAGGAGTGGCTCAAGAAGAAGCACATTAAGGTCCTGGAGTGGCTTCGCCAGTCTCCAGACCTTAATCCCATAGAAAATCTGTGGATGGAGCTGAAGGTTCGAGTTGCCAAACGTCGGCCTCGAAACCTTAATGACTTGGAGAAGATCTGCAAAGAGGAGTGGGACAAAATCCTTCCTGAGATGTGTGCAAACCTGGTGGCCAACTACAAGAAACGTCTGACCTCTGTGATTGCCATCAAAGGTTTTGTCACCAAGTACTAAGTCCTGTTTTGCAGAGGGGTCAAATACTTATTTCCCTCATTAAAATGCAAATCAATTTAAACATTTTTGACATGCGTTTTTCTAGATATTTTTGTTGTTAGTCTGTCTCACTGTTCCAACAAACCTGCCATTAAAATTATAGACTGATAATTTATTTGTCAGTGGGCAAACCTACAAAATCAGCAGGGGATCAAATACTTTTTTCCCTCACTGTACGTATATCCAGTCAACTTCCTGTGAGTAAGGCACTTGTTTCATCTTGGTGTTTTATTGCCGCGATGTGGCGCTGACGTTCGCCACGCACATTCGAGATTTCTCCTGCACGGTATTCACGCCACAGTCCCCCCAGCAGCCCCTTCCTTCCATTCAGTGCCTTGACCCATGGGGGGGGGGGTTAAGCACTGCTGCAACAGGGCCTCATAAAACGCATACGATACATCAGAGGCATGCAATGTCGCGTTGACAGTAAACTATTTGAAATGGGGGCATGTTTCTCTCGGGGTGAAGTTATACATTTTGGGGGGAAGTGTTCCTGTTCATGTTGTTTTCATCACTTGAAAATGAACAAGGCAGAACAATTGGTACCAACGTGCTAGAGGTAAATAATTATAAGTGTCTCACATGTACAGACATGTGTAACGCCTAGACCTTGTATCATTAATCCATGATGCGAGGTATATGTTTGAAACCATGAAATTGCTACGGCTTGAGAGGCCTTCATCCAGCAGTGGATAGCTCTTGGATGATGATTATTATTATTAGGATTGTAAAATGTATTTTAAAAGCTCCACAAGCAAACACATACATTTTAAAGTAATGTATACCCTGTGACATTACATTGCAGAGTGAATGATCATGGGATTTCAAAATTACCTGAGATTAGGTTTTGCAAGTTTCTGAATGTCGTCTGTATATTTATAATTGCCGCTTGTGTTTAAACTCAATGGCTGTGCTTGCGACGATGCATATTTTGTCAGATTATGAATTGTTTTGTAATAACGCACATTTACCATAAAGCAACTGCCCGATGTCAAAAGTAATAATGTGCAACGATTTGCAAATGTGGCGTGTTGACGACAAACATACCCCTGTAAAAATCCCGTGGAAATGAGTTTGGGATGAAACAACGGCAAACAAAAAAGAATGAAACGTTATTCTGTTCATGTGCCGGGCAAAGGAATTTCACTTTGACCAAGTCTACTCGTAACAAATGAGGGACTTTAATAAGACACGTTAAAAATGAATTACATTTGCGATCCATCATTCATGCCTGTGGACCAAGGGAGGGAGGCGCCAGAGGGGGTGATATATCTATGTACGGTTTTATAAGGACTAAGATCGATTGTTGACTTTCGTGCACAAAAATAGAATGAATGTGAAAGCATGTTAATGAAATATTGAATCTCTCAAGTGATCGACCACAACATCCAGCCAAGAAAATTCTTCTGCGTGTTGATTTTGACCGTAGATTGTATGGCTATGGCTGATGCTGCCGAGTGGCCTGGCCACTCTCTTGACCACACAACTGTTTAACAGCACGTGGCACTTAGATTATGAAGATGATGATAAAGGTATCAATATTTAACACTTTATCTCAGCAACTTCATCCCAATTAATTATAACTGAAGCTCAAGCACAATTTAAGGTTTACATTTTAATAAAATGAATTTCCCTCACTTATGCGGTAATAAAAAATGCAACTGACTGAAAATGCGGCGGAATGTGTATACTTAGGGCAATTATTGAACTTATTTGAGGATCAAAATAATGATATTGAGAGGTGACTTAGAACAGGATGGAGTGGTTTGGGAAACAATTAATTTGAGAGTAAAATAAACATATCAATGTGCTTTAAGAAGGCGAATATGGCCAATGAAAAAACAAACAGAAAGCTGAAACGTGTACAGATAAGTGTGGAGAGACGCATACTTGAAAGTACAATGAGAGACAGAAAGATGAACACTTGGATCAGAGAACGAAAACACGTCAGAGCCTCAGGAAACTTAGCGGGCTGCGGCAGCCAACATTAATAGATCGGTTGACATCCAACAGAGGAGACTCACGGTGATGGAATGACAGCCAAGGACTGTGGAATTGCAAGACCGTGAGGCTTTCTGATGGCGTGGGGTGGCCCAGCATCGAGCTGTGGATAAAGAATGGCCAAAACGTCATCCATTGTCCCGATCTCTATACTATTAATGAGTGCCCCGTTACACAAAATGTCACCTATTTCATGTACTTATTTACATTTTTAGGACAGTGTTTACTAACTCTCGTATTAAAGTTGCGTGTGTTTTGTGCTTCCGTACCACTGCCAATGCGGTACCAGCAATCAATGGCACACGTATCCAATATAATTGAACAACATTGGCACGGCACAAGTTGAGGAGCTGCTGCTGCCGCCGCTGCTGGTGTGACTCTTAGCACTCGTATCGGGCACTCGGGAGGAACAAGATTGTATTTGACTGCTCGGGGCTAGGGGAGGGGACAGATGACGCGGAGGAGAAAGCCGGCCAGGCAAAGCGGGCCCCGCATATCATTTAACGCAAGTGACACGAGGATCACTGTGCTGTCAAACGACACAGGAGGAGGGTGGAGGAGAGAGGCAGGCAGACAGACGTAAAGATGAAATCTAAGGTATAGACAAGCAGATATAACAAGCCAGCCGTAGTGATAAACCAGAGAGAGACAGATATCGAAAGACACCGGGAGAAGGCAACTGTGGGTGGAATGTGTGAATGCAGGAGAAAGTTTTGAGCCTCCTCAAGTGCAACACAACAGCAGGCACACCGCACCTCCGACTTAGCACGATTGGCTATGCACGGTGCGAACAGAAGTTCAACATAAATACATGCACCACCACAGTAGCACATTCGTCTCAGAGGTTCGCACACGCGCGCGCGCGCGCGCACGTGCACACAGCGAGAAACACATGCCGAGTCCGCAGTAGGGGTGGCGCTTGCGAGTTGCGAGCGTTCGCGCACAACTCACGGGCACGAGGGAGGGCAAAGCAAAAGAAAGCAGCCCCACAGAGGGCGAGGAGGTGGAAGAGCGGAGCGGCGAGCGCGAGGCAAGCGAGCTTCACTTGCTCAGAGCGCCCGGCGATGAGGGCCACCGGCGCATTCGCGGCGCTGCTGTGCGTGGCCGTGTCAGCGGCGCGCGCCACCTCCTACCCAGGGAGGCCCCTGCGCTACCAGCAGAGGGTCAACTGCTTCCCGTGCGTCCCCATGCGGAGCCCGCACAGAGGCAGGAGCGAGAATGTCACTGGTAATGAGCCGTGAGACGCTTTGGCTTTGCGTTCGGTGTTTTTGCGTGATTTTTGTTTGTTGTTTTTGTATATTCTTGCTGCTGTTGTTGTGATACAGATTATTATTTAACCGCGAAAGTTCGTTGTTGTGTTTTTTTTTATTGTCATAGTTTTGTTGTTCTGGGGGAGGGTGATTATTTTTGAAAGCGTGCGCGCGTGCGTGTGTCTCTGTGTGTGTGTGTGTTTGTGCTGCTTCTGTTTAGCGTGATGGTTCAGATTCGTCGGAGTTGTGAGCTCACGTGGAATGAGCTTTATTTATTGCGTAATTGCGTGTTTTGCTTACGTCTGTACGCTTGCTTTCTAAATGTTTCGAGGAGATGTGCTTCTGCCACGCTTGAATGTATTGTTTAAGTGGATCAGTAAGATGTGCGTATGATACTTTGCAACGCATCTTTTAAATGGTACGTGTGTGAATCGTGCCTCATACAACACTGCTTTAGATGGTCTAATATGTTGAACATATATATTTTAATTTTTATTTCATTTAATACCCATTCAGTATACTCAATTAAGTAATTTCACGTCTGTATTATCAAAAGTAGTTTCAAGTATAGTTTGTGTAACAAAGGTGACAATTCGAGATACCAGGTTAGGTCTAATTTGGACGAGTGACCCATAAAAAGCAAAACAAATAAAATTAAGTGCAGCAATGAAGTGAATCGAACACGAATCATCGTAACAATAATATATATTCTCAGCCAAACCTTTTGATAGACTTTACCTTCAGCAGCGGCTAATGAAATTTGTCCTGGCCGTGTAAGCACATTTTATGTAGTGGGAAAATATGTAACGGATTACAACGGATACCTGATTGGATTACCTGTATTCCACTAGTCCACGTGTAATGCAATACCAGCTCATAATAAAGACCGCTCGACATGTCCGTGGGCATTAGTGGAAGGGCGCTGGGTATATATATCATTCCCAGCTCAAGGTGCTCATAATACAACATTACGAGCCTGCCGAATCGTATAAAATCGCACGCTCGCCAAATTACGCGGCTTTTCATTCTCCGGCACACACACTGCGCGGCCAAGTAGCCTGAATGGCTTGGCTATTGTGGGTGGTGGTTTAAAGGCGCAAGATGATTGTTTAGACGCCACGAAGTGCCACGGGTGGGAGCTGTGCCTGTTCACTGCCTGCACGATGCTCGTGGAAGTTGCTTGTCGCTGCGTCGTCTGAAACGCATGGCTGCCCTACGTGACACTTATGCAATATGTGTACCTGCAATCCAAACATACTAACTGGCTTATATGCCAACTATACACGTTAATTCCCATAAGCATTTTATTTATTTCCCTGTATGTTGCTTATGTATGTGTGCACTTTTGTAATCTTCTACGGCTCTTCTACCTACGTGCCCAGAAGATACGTCAGCATGCGCCTGCCTGTACACATCACTGCTTTTACAGCTCGGCCATGCGAACTTGCTAACATGACTCCCAAGTTCGTAGCTGTCTGCACGATTTGTGTGCAGTCGAAGCTGGATGTAACCACGTCTTATATAAGCACGTTATTTGGCGATTACTGCACTGGCAGTGGTGCAGAAGCACAACGCACAACACGTCCGCAAATAACGCTGTGGCCGTGAAAGTAAAATGTATAATAGGTGACGTTTCGGGCAAGCGCCCGTCTTCATGGCACATCATTGATCATTGATGAAATGATGTGCCATGAAGACGGGCCATATCCCTTAGCCATCACCTCTTATATATGTTGCCTTCGTTTCCACTGCCAGACTGGAAGATCAAATCCAACTGGCAACAACTGGATTGGCGACTCACATGCTGAATAATATGTTGCATTGTTAACACGTATATAAAAGCACAGTTCTCCTATAAGCAACAGGCGCTTATGTTGCACTGGTGGAAGCAAGGCATCGGGCAGCTTATGATAGTGGAACACTTCGGATATATATACAGCTTGCCTTGCTCTCAAGGGGTGTTGAAGGTGTACATACCTGACTGCATTACTACATTCCTTAGAGGCAGAACACCCAGTCTGGGCTTTAGAGTTCGCCCACATACCGTGGTATGCACGTGCCCATTCCTAATTATCACAATTTTTCCCACATGCTTCCAATCACTGCTGTTTGCTTCTCCCGTGAAGCTGCTTTCGTTGTTGGGAGTGCGCGCACGGGTTAATATGGGAGTGCTGGCGTAAGAGTGAGTTCGAGCTTGCAATGAATCCGACTTGATGGAACCTGGATATGCCGCGATATTCTGGCGATGTTCGAGGGGTACGGGGAAACAGGCAAATTATGTAACTCCACAAATTGTAACGAGGCAGATTGAGAAGCTTCAAATTTTAAACGAACGCCGTTTATATATATAAACGAAGCATAATCACTGCTGCCAATAAGTTAATTACAGAAAAAATGTCCGAGCCAAGAGAGCAGCGTCCGGTGAATGTGTTGTCGTTATTATTTTAAACTGCCCGATTTGTTTCACATTTGCAGGCCACCGATCGTGCGTGTGTGATGATGTGCTGCGGTCATGCATATTTGAACGGATCCAAAACCCTCCCCCCCCCAAAAAATCTGACATATTTTAGTACCCTTTAATGTTTGGGCACGTCAGATGGAAATGCCAGGAAACTTGACATAAAATCATTACTGTGCCAAACGTGTTCCCATATTTGCACAACAACATTAGGATTGACATCAGCAACTTTCTTGGGTGTGGATACATTAAGCATATAATTTGCTACAATAAAAAATATATATACTCTTGATGTTGACAACCAAGAGGTATGTACAATACTACATAGAGATCACAGCAGACACATTGTGATACGCAGCGGTTAGGTCAGTATTACATTAACTAATCTAATTGTTGCAGGTTGGATTTGATCTTCCAGCATGGCAGTTGAAACAATGGCCACGTTTTTTAGTTTTTTAATCCCTCCACCGATGTTCAACCAGTCGTATATTGTGTGGTGGGGCATAGTGGTGGTGAGGGTGCCACGTTAGTTAGATGTTGACTACCTCGCCTGGTATATTTTGAGTGTGCGTGTCTCTCTCCCTTTGGTCGCATAGAGTTTTCTCTGGGTCCTCCGATTTCTCCCTCCACATTTAGAATCAACACGCGTTTAGAGTATTTGACTGCTATACATTTCCACATGATAAGCCACTTCATTGAGCTTTCATTTGTATCCAGCTCGCTTCTGAAAAAGCTCATAGCTTAGTGCGCCTTGCCTGGTAAAAATAAACATAGTTTAGTTTGATTTTAGTTTTAATCCTAACTCTTCATAGAGATCTGGCCTGTGTGGGGTAGTAGGCCAAGTGCCCTCATAGGGCCTCTCTAGAACTCCCGCTCCCTCCAGTGGAGACCCTTCTGCCAGCAGTGACATGAACAAGTAATTGAACGGCTGCATCTATATAAAGTATGATGCATATATATTATTTTCACAAAAGGAAATTGTAAACAACCGTGTAATATCAGGTTTATACATGAGCCAAGAGGGAAATTTCTCTCCGAAGCGAGATTATGGTGCCAGTTTTAAAACCACTTCGAGATCTGGCCAAGACTCTGAAAGCCCTCGTGGGATGGAATTATAAGGACATTTTTATTATGTAGAACCTGAAGCTCTTACTTGAAAATAGTCTAATAAATTCCCACATTTTTATTCTTAAGTTGCATCCGTAATAACTGTGAGTTTTAAATAGACCATGTATACACATACCAGCCGTATGATGAATGTGGCTTCATCCAGATCCATATACATGATGAGGGCAGTGGCTATTTCTCTTAATATATTTTTAAAGGATTTGAAGAAATAAGAACAAAGAAAATACCATTTGTGAAAATAACGTCAATAATTATAAACAATAGTAATTTGAATATATATCATGTTAAACACATTAACATTATATTTACTGCAATACTTGAATTTCTTTAGGGGTTTATTGTTTAAGGTAAATGTGCAGTCATGCAATTGCATGCTCATTCCACTGCTGGCTGAAGGGCCTTAATCTGGAGGGAACTCTGCAACCTCTGGATTCCGAGTCCAGTGTGCTAACCATGACACCACTGTGGCAACTTCCTTAGAATGTTTTTTTTTGTACGAGATCAAATTTAACTGAAATATCTCATTCCAAGTTTGCCTGAAGGAAAATATTTATCAACACCCTGTAATGCCCCCTCACTAACTTAACATTCAATGACATAGCAAAAAAAAACATATGCTTCGGAGTATTTTTTTGTTACATTGCATTTTTTTTTATTTAGGACAGCAAACGCCTGTGAAATATACAGTGTATTAAAAAATGTTGTGTATATGCATGAATAAACCTCAACTGTGGGCACAGCTGCTATGCATTTAAAGGACGCTTTATGGCCAAAAAAAAATGTGAAATGGAACCAATTAAACATTGAAAAGTCTGACTAGTTGAGCACGAAATCATGAGCAAATACAATTCTCATGTTGTTTTGCCATCATCATTGTTATCAGCCATGATTTATCCACTGCTGGATGAAGGTCTTCCTAAGCCCACCATCATCATGTTTCACGGTCCTGCAACAGAACAATCTCTCGAACTCCTGGACAGAAGCTCATTCCCTTGCACTGCTTCCAACGTGGATGGACCAACAGCGTCCCCAGTCCATAATGGACTGCCCATGGCTCAGGACTTTTAGAATAATGAAACAACACGTTCCTGGAGGTGCATATATGTATTACTTATGAACAATTCTTAATTTCAGCTGGAGATATATGGGGCTGAGCACTGTAAAATAACCCCCCCCCCCTGTCTGGGGTTTCATTTGGAGCGTTGGAGTTTGGGGGCATCCAGAAAATATTCCATGAGAAATTAAGCCCCGTGTATAGGAGGCAAAAAAAAAAAAAAAACTGACACAAATTTCTACAGAAGGTATTTGTGTTGGGCATAATAGCTATAATTAGATCACTGCTCACTCTACACAAGTGTTCACATGGGGTTGGTTTTACAACAAAATTATAGCTTGCTGTTGTTACATGCTGTGTCCTGATGGCCACCTCCTAATCACACCTGGCCAGTCAATCATGAGGAAAGCAGTAATGCTGGATTCATATCGTGCCATTTCGAGAAGCTGCCACTGAAATGTCATTCAACTTGTGGGGAGTTGCTCGATTTGATTCCTTCCATCCAAGCACTAGCCATTCTCGAGCCTGCTTATCTTTCGGGATCGGGCGAGGGTGATATGGTCGTAGGCCTAAAAGCCGCCAGCATGATTACAATGGTGCTTTTCGTAATTTTGAAACAAGTTGAGGCAGTTTGCCTTTGCAATCTCTCATTTGAAGCACGGAGTCACTCGTGACTCGAGGTATCCACGAGGCTCTGCCAGCACATGTGATGCTGCGTAAACAGTCGCAGAAGCATGCTTCCAATGAAGCACCAAACACGGCGTCTCGAACGCAATGATCTTAAAGTGTAAAATTCAAGCGAAATATCGCACGGTCCAATGTACCGTACGCAACTCTTTCTAATCGTGTTAATGTGGAGAAGTAAGTATCAAAGTGGTGGAGCAGACAATGCATACATACGGTGGAAAAGTTCAACAACACACACGCACATACATTTCCTTCACATATGTATCTGTGTCTCCACATAAAGTACTGATTAAGTGTCACCAAACAACTCTGGAGCAGTTTCAACATTCAGTGTCTCATAAGCAGACTCAGGCTGGCTTGAATCGACGCTGGTGAGCCTCCTGATGTTTAAAGTTTTCGTGACTTGCAGGAATACATATTCTTTGGGTCTTTCGGTAAAGTCACGTGGATAAGTTCAAATGAATATTTTTTGATTATTATAAACTTTCTGGTCACTCGTCCGAGCCTTATCCAGCCCAATCCCGTTGAGCTTCTGGGATCGGGCACATTATGAGTGAGATTGGTCATAGGCACATTCACCCATATATATATTTATATGCATCCATATTTATTTAAATCTCAACACTTCCTGTCCTTCCATTGCATCATGCCGGCATAGGCCGCTGGCTCCATGGTGTGCAAGCTACCATCATCAAGTTGCATGTGTGCATCGTGCACTATGTACATGCGTGTGCGCATATATACACAAAGCGTGGCATTCACTACCACTCAGGTCACGCACACTGGGTAATGGTAGCCGTGGCATGTCCGTTTTTTGCACCTGACGTATTCCTGATGCTATTATAAACATGCGTTACAAACTGCTGTCATCACGAAGGATGCTTATATATTTTTTTTTTATCCTAGGTTGGAGCGTGCCGTCTAGATAGCAACATGAAGAAATAGCTTTGGTGTGCGTCATTGTCATTCCGCGAATGCAGCAGAATCACAGTGGCATTTCACCAATAGCACTGCTGTGATTTATATTCACTTCAATGGCCAGCAAGTGCAGTTTCTTGAATTATGGCTGCAAAACATTACTGTTATTATGTCGCGTCTATTGAAGTTGGCGCTCGGGTTAAGCAGTTACGACAAAAGAGGCGAATAACGACTATAACAGCTGCGTTGTGCTCCCAAGTGGCTTGTGACGTCACCTCGGTTGCCACCTTTGTAACCGAAGTGTAACTTTGAGGCCTCGTGGAGTGCTGAAAGTCTAAAAGCATGCACAAAGACACACACACACAAACACAATCGGCAGGAAAGTTCCTCAGCTGATATTATGAAAATAGCAAAAACGAGTACAGCCGAGACTTACAGGCACAATTTCGCCATCATGGAATGCTTACGTAGATCCGCATCCAGCGTGTTAAACTAAACACCCACGATTTATCCAACTTACAGAGGGGGCTTCACCCTCAGCGAGGGGCTGATTGTGAGGCTCGTGGTTGCAGGCAGGTCAATGCCAGATGCCACTCGTTCCACAGCACTTGTCTTTCTCCTTCATAGCCCATTGACAGTAGCTTGGCATTTAACCTCCGTGTCCTCTCGGTCTGCCCGGAGGAGAGATTAGGAGCTCCGGCATGGATGAAGTCACGGTCCGCTTAAGCTTTCCCAACACCCCCAGCCAAGAGCCCACCACGTACTTGCCCCGATGCTTATCTGTGGCCGATGCAGTTTCACGATTACATGAATGAGCGTCACTGTCCTGACACCAGTCAATGGAGCGTTGCAGGGGCACACAAGTAGGGTTTCATAGCGGTAAGGGGAGGGGGGGTCATTGTGAGCGTCGCTGCTCTAAATGCTTTTGTGGCATCTAATTCTGGTAAAGCCATTTAACCCCTGACTTTCGACCATTGTGCAAGTCATGAGCATTCTTTGGAGCCCGACTGCAAGTAATTGCACTTCTCAATGCACGATCTTTAATCAATGGCGCGTTGCATCAGAATTGTGTTTTGCTGCTATACAATGCACCACCATGATCATTCTTTGAATAGTCAAATCGCACCCCGGATACACCCACAATCTCGTCATTTCTCGGAAGCCAAAGCAGGGCAAAGTTGTGAAGAAAAAGAGAGCCTCTCGCAACGCGAATACACATTCGGATGTCCAATCGCAGTTCATAGTGTGACCGTTGATCGATCGCGTTTTGCCTTACCGGAATGTCGTCGAGCGCCCGGAGACGCAAACGGCGCGTGCCAACAGGCGTGCGTCTTCCGTTTCGGTTTGAGCTGCAGTTATAAGCGTGACCCATCGATCGATCGATTGGTCGATCGCGTTTGCCTTCCAGACGTCGACGAGTGCCTGGAGCACAACGGCGGGTGCCAGCACGTGTGCGTCAACACGCCGGGGAGCTACCACTGCGAATGCCGCCCGGGCACCAAGGTGCACAGCGATGGCCGCACCTGCGTTTGTGAGTTGCTCTTCATCGCGGTTTTGCAAACGACGTACGGATGGACTCCCCCCCCCCCCCCCCTCCTGGTACACACGCTCAGCTTGCGCGGGGGAGGAGGGGGTGGTTAGTCTGCCGACTTGGTAGCGCAGGGCGCTAACCGTAGCACCGCCGTAGCGCCCCACTCGTGGACACACGCACACCCACTTTGGATCATCATCATCATCATCGTAGGTAAGTACGGCATTTATTCAGCATTTATGCTACTCTTTTTGGTTGCCATGTACCTAACCTCATTATTTAGGTAAGGCTTTTAAGTATTGAATAATCACATTTTTGGCTTTCGCGGCACATTCCAAGAACGTGTAACCCCCACGATCTTCAAGTGTCTCCTCTACACAGAACACAGCAAGAGATTCTGCCGTGCCGCATTGGATTAATACACCGGATTTGCAATCCAGAGGTTACCGGTTCATCTTCATCTCCTGGCGTGGCAGTTGAAATATCGGACAAGTTATTAAATCCTCCCCCCCCCGCATTGCCTACTGCCCAGACATACTCCACTACTTCCGCGTTGTCTTGTCAGGGGCTCTCTCGAGTGGAAGGCCCCTCCGCCAGCAGTGGCATGAGCATGCAATTTCCGGTCTGCACCATTACCATATCCCTGTGCAATATGAGTCTAGAAAATGCTATGCACGTGGTGCTTCTTCATGGGCAGGATGCACAAGGCGTGCGACTACCACACGTGCCCACCGGCCCCGACACAAAAACTCACGCATCTTGCTGTCTCATCGTCATCGTCATCCGCACCTCCGATTAACACTGTTGGCTACGTATGGTGAGAAACATTTTCAACATACATATATACGTACATTTTTTTTATCTCGATTGAAAACTCCTTTCTTTCGAACTGCGTTTTGTGTTTAATTTGCTGTTCTTCCCCCACACCTCCGATTAGCACGGTTGGCTACGTACGGTGCGAAAGAAGTTCGACATACATAGTGCCTGTAATCCTGTTCCTTGGAGGCAGGGTTGGTGGTTCATGGAGGGATTTCATCACGGTGCTGTTACACTCCAAATGCGCTGGGCTTCGAGGTGGCAATTATGAAAATGGGCCGGCCGGCCTGCGCAGATTTTCACGTGTTATCTGGAATGCTGTGGATTCCTGCCACATTTGAAGAAAAAAATGCACTCCTAAAAAGGAATTGGCCAAAACATCCTAATGCAGGGACCCTTCCTTCAAAACAGTCTTCTGACACAGCGAAGCTTTCCTGTGTAAAACAAGCGGAGCAATTAAATACAACCAGACCTCGCCAGAATGTGGGAGCTCTGGTGGGCGTTAATGCCTCACAATGCGTCCGAATTGTCATGTTTGCAAAAAAGAAAAAAAACCGGTTGTGGTGAATTTGAAAGCTGCTAATTCACGATAGATTGAGCATTGTGAAAACAGCGTTAACAGGGCACATATGCGAACAGCACGCGTGTCCGCATCGCACAGAACACGGCCATGCATAATTTAACACTGCTGTTGGATTTACGCAGGGACCCTGATAAATGGGCTGCGAACTGCGTGAATTTTTGTTGCGTGCAAGAATAACTGTTTAAGATAAAAAAAAATGATCATAGGGGAGAAAAAGTTGGCCATTCGGCTGTCCCTCTGCTGAAAAATAACATTTTAGCATGGAAATAACATCCCCGTGTTTTCCGAAAGCTTGATCGTAACAGCAAGCAGCTTATGATTTTTATAATGGAAAATATTATTGTTATCCTTTTGACAAGCAAGACGCGCAGCCTACTGCCGAGTCTTGCATAGGGGATGCACGATATGCACTATACATACACTATAGGGTAACGCATTAATATATGCCTCACTAAAATAACTAAAATATACATGTAAATTACATCTTCGTTGAAAACGACTGTCTTGAGAACCGGTTTTTGTGTTTAGTTTGTTGTCCTTCCTCCGCACCTCTGGGATTAGCACGGCTGGCTACGTATGGTGCAAAAACAACTCCGCATACATGCATACATGTTATTTTTTGTTTATTTCAAAGCCTGCACATTTCTACCAGCAATCTCACTCCGTGCATTACAAATCCCTTTACACACTCGCAATACAATGTGTCCAACAGAGCTGGACTGATATGCTTGCGACGCTCATTGATGCGCAATATCGGGTCCAAAATAAATGCAATTTACAGTGAGGGGAAAAAAAGTATTTGATCCCCTGCTGATTTTGCACGTTTGCCCACTGACAAAGAAATGATCAGTCTATAATTTTAATGGTAGGTTTATTTGAACAGTGAGAGATAGAATTACAACAAAAAATCCAGAAAAACGCATGTCAAAAATGTTATGAATTGATTTGCATTTTAATGAGGGAAATAAGTATTTGACCCCTCTGCAAAACATGACTTAGTACTTGGTGGCAAGACCCTTGTTGGCAATTACAGAGGTCAGACGTTTCTTGTAGTTGGCCACCAGGTTTGCACACATCTCAGGAGGGATTTTGTCCCACTCCTCTTTGCAGATCTTCTCCAAATCATTAAGGTTTCGAGGCTGACGTTTGGCAACTCGAACCTTCAGCTCACTCCACGATTTTCTATGGGATTAAGGTCTGGAGACTGGCTACGCCACTCCAGGACCTTAATGTGCTTCTTCTTGAGCCACTCCTTTGTTGCCTTGGCCGTGTGTTTTTGGTCATTGTCATGCTGGAATACCCATCCACGATCCATTTTCAATGCCCTGGCTGAGAGAAGGAGGTTCTCACCCAAGATTTGCCGGTATATGGCCCCGTCCATCGTCCCTTTGATGCGGTGAAGTTGTCCTGTCCCCTTAGCAGAAAAACACACCCAAAGCATAATGTTTCCACCTCCATGTTTGACGGTGGGGATGGTGTTCTTGGGGTCATAGGCAGCATTCCTCCTCCTCCAAACACGGCGAGTTTAGTTGATGCCAAAGAGCTCCATTTTGGTCTCATCTGACCACAACACTTTCACCCAGTTGTCCGCTAAATCATTCAGATGTTCATTGGCAAACTTCAGACGGGCATGTATATGTGCTTTCTTGAGCAGGGGGACCTTGCGGGCGCTGCAGGATTTCAGTCCTTCACGGTGTAGTGTGTTACCAATTGTTTTCTTGGTGACCATGGTCCCAGCTGCCTTGAGATCATTGACAAGATACTCCCATGTAGTTCTGGGCAGATTCCTCACCGTTCTTATGATCATTGCAACTCCACGAGGTGAGATCTTGCATGGAGCCCCAGGCCGAGGGAGATTGACAGTTATTTTGGATTTCTTCCATTGGCGAATAATCGCACCAACTGTTGTCACCTTCTCACCAAGCTACTTGGCAATGGTCTTGTAGCCCATTCCAGCCTTGTGTAGGTCTACAATCTTGTCCCTGACATCCTTGGAGCGCTCTTTGGTCTTGGCCATGGTGGAGAGTTTGGAATCTGATTGATTGCTTCTGTGGACAGGTGCCTTTTATACAGGAAACAAGCTGAGATTAGGAGCACTCCCTTTAAGAGTGTGTTCCTAATCTCAGCTCCTTACCTGTATAAAAGACACCTGGGAGCCAGAAATCTTTCTGATTGAGAGGGGGTCAAATACTTATTTCCCTCATTAAAATGCAAATCAATTTATAACATTTTCAACATGCGTTTTTCTGGATTTTCTTGTTGTCATTCTGTCTCTCACTGTTCAAATAAACATACCATTACAATTATAAACTGATCATTTCTTTGTCAGTGGGCAAACGTACAAAATCAGCAGGGGATTAAATACTTTTTTTCCCTCACTGTAAAAGAGCAAAGATAATGAGGTGTGACTTCAAGTTCACGCAAAAATATAGTCACCACGGTTTTCTACCTCTGTCTCTGTAACAAAAACGAAATCAGTTTCACCGCAGATGGTTGTGACTTTTGAAGCAACTTTCTGTATCATTCTCCCCTCATATGCAAAAATTACGACTATGTAGGTGTTCGTGTTTGGGCTGTACAGCTCTTGGGTTGTGTTTTCCGGCCGTGCCGTGTGTTGTTTGGGGCGGTGTCCGAGGTTCCGATCCACGTTCAGGGGAGCTTCTCCAGGAACTGAATTTCTTTAGTTCGTCTTCAATTCAGTCCCTGAAGAAACCCTAAGCCCGTGGCACGAAACGTCAGACATCATGCCGAATTTCCCATGAAGCAAGGCTGAATACAGCAGTTGAACCTTTATGGAGAAGCACGCTTTGCTTGGCCATTGTTGCGTAATCTTTTTTAAGCACCACAGTACACAATTCTAACCAACGTCAAGTCCTCTTCAATTTCTCTCAATCCTTCCTTCCCTTGTTCCAGTTAACTCTGGATAATGATCAACTTGCGTTTTGCGCCTGCAGAAAAACAGACGGGACTCGTTTATTTCATGTTTCGCTTGGCTCGTGAATGATGCTCCTGTGCTTCGTAAGCACCTGGCATTGCAATGGGTCTCAGCCAAAAAATAAAAAAAACAGCCAGTCAGAACAATACGAACTTTATTTTTGCACAGAAATTAGAGAATAAGACGTGAACCCAAATGGGATAACAATCTCTTTTTTATGACACTGCTAATGCTTTAAATATGGATGGGGCTTCAGAAGCAAGGGTCGGTGGATCAAGTAGCTATGTAAGATGGCCAGAAAATAAGTATGCTTTGCAGACATTTAATTATTATACAACCGAGAGTTCTCTTGAGCTACGCTAGTTTCCTACCATATACAAGACACTTCTTGCATAAGAACCGGCCAAACATCCTAAACGCAGGAACCTTCTGATAAAAAAAGGTGATGTTTTCCCAGATAAATGACGTAAAGACCTCATCGAGGTTTTTTGTTTGTATGTAATTTACGCAAATTTGTTAATATACTAGTGAACGAAAAACCCCCACGTTTCCAGGCGCCACTAGAGTTGTCGAGGTTATTCGGACGTACTTCGTCAAAACGTTGGCGTTGGGGTGGCCGTCTTCCACCGCTGCTGTTGAGCGCTCCGTGCTGCGATGGTGGTCAGCCAGCTCGACGATTTATAGCGAAATAAACTCCGTGACCAACATCGGCAAAAATGGGATAATTTTATCCAGCAGTGAATTCACAAAGGGCTGGGCCTGTTTAATAACAATGGTCACTGCGCTCACGTGGCAAATACAATAATTTAGCAGACCATGGCTGATTTTCGCTGCCGATATTAGTTCTCCCAACAGTGAGCCTCCCAATGTAATTATTGGCATACTTAATTCAGCTAGTGAAACTTAAACAACATACTGTTTTCCCACATGTCAACAAAACGTGGCTATACGACCGTTTATGCATAAACATGCATTTGCTATATGGCGCGCGCAACAGGCTGTGCGTGTCTCAGTTTCGTAGATTTATTACTTTTTGTAAACACACGAAGGCGTGCTGAGTGGTTGCAGCTTGAGTTTAGCCGTTTGAGCAATTGTGCCATTGCATGCCCACTGTGACTCAGGCAGACTGTGGTTAGCGTGTAATTCATATGAACGGCGAGTACAGCATTACCGGCACAACAGGCGAAGTACAGCACTGAGCAATCCACAGGCTGTGTGTTGGTCGAGGGGGTGTTTGACCATACTTCGCCGTGCAGGTCAGTGCGGGATTGTTGAACGAGGAGAGATCCGGGACAATTTCAGATTTCGCTCGCTACTGATGTTGCCCCCACGGCCGGGATTGGAACTCACATTGCTGGGTTTATTCGCGCAGTGTGCCAACTACTGCCCCCCAAAAATGAATTAGAAACCTTTTTAATTAGATGCCTGTGTGTGTGTGTGTGGAGCTGCAATGTCGCGCAGGCGACACACAAACTGGGTGGCTATTGCGTGTCAACCCAGGAAAATGAATGGCTCTTGGAGATATGAAAAAAAAAAACTGTGACTCCTGGATAGATTGCTGATCTGTGCAGATTAGCATAATGTTGCTGCATATGCTTGGCATTGTAAGGGGTTTGAGGATCTGTCGGTTAGAATAATATACAATGGCATCCTTGTGTACATAAATACTACGTGCAAGCGACGCGTTTACAATTTTGGGCAAAGGAATAAAAAAACCACAGTTAATTATTAATGTTGGCACCGCACCATTAATTCAGCACTGCTGGGGAGGAACAGTGGCGATGCTTTAAATGTCTCCCTCCCCCATGTGCACAAGTCGCTAAGGTCGGTGCGCCCAGATGCCTTGCTGCAGTCAGACTGGTTTTCATTCGCGAAGTGAGACCGTCATTTATCTTGGCTCACCCTTTGGGCGAAAGGATTTCCATGAATTTCGGAGATGCAATAATAAATATGGTCAGAGCCAACGGACCGGACCCGTACTCCAACGAGCACCAGGCAGCAGAGCTCCTCGCTTCGTCCGCAGTCCCGCCTGTGATTTAAATTACTCGGTCTGAGAAAGGGGGGGGGGGGGTCAGACCAATCTCTCCATAGGACAACCACTCGACCTCCTACAAAGTGGTACTGATTTTATTCGCCAACAAAAGGGATAATGGACCGAGTTGGAAATTAACTTTCAAAATAACTTTTTCTTTCTCCAAATTGAAAAATCATGCTCGTAATAACACTTATGTAGGGGCAATTATGTAATAACAATACTAATGCCCCTAATTTAACCAAGTCGAAAAAGTATTTTTCCTGATGGGGGTGCTGCATTGGGATGTTTGGCCGACTCGGGAGGAAATTTAAGTCCTCACAAAACACCAACAGGTAGGAAGGAGCAGGGGTAACTCAAAGCACTGCACAGATGGATTTGGGGAAAGGCCACCTTGAATAAACACGTGGCCTTGATGCAAAAATATGCGCGATCCCTTGCTTCTAAAGTGCTTGATTACATAAGTGAACAACATTCGCTCATTTCAATACAGTTTGAACTCATTCATCTTCAGTTTGAATTCATTCATCAGGCAAAGCCAGTGCAGTGCTAGAGTTCGAAAAATCATTTCGTCCGAGACGATGCTCCACTTCGTCGCATGGAAAAAATTTTTGCAGGAGTTCCAACGAAATGGTGAATTATACCTTTTGCCAACAGTGGAACGAGCTAACAATTGCAGGACTGCACCTTTTTGCCTTTTATTATAGACTGCTGTATTAAACGACTTAAACCACCTCATCACATTCATTCCTGGCACGGTGGACACGGTGTCACTGGGTACAATATTGCTTGTGTGTCCCATCATGTGTTTTATAGACGCTGATATGTTCTGCTTAATTCGGTCCATAGACCATTCAGTAAGTCACTCCTTTGCTTTCTGCTTAAGTTGGGTTGTAGCCGTGGGCTGTTAGCAGTGGGCATATTGTTTTGACATCAGGGCAATATTATTTGTTTTGAGTCTGGCATTCCTCAAGGTGTAACCTTTTAGCTCTTTCTTTCATTTATTTTAGTCATCTCAATTCCAATTGGGCTTAAGGTTCGTGTGCATTCCAGAAAAGAGGAAAAACATGCATCAGTGCACACACAAGCTTTGAGCGCAAGGATGAGAACGCATGCGCGAGTATGCACGGACGCAAACCTTCAACACGTGCTCAATGTTATACACGCACACAGGCTCATGCATACAAAGGTCCATGCACATAAGCTTACACAAGCGCGCGAACACACACACACACACAAACACCCACTTTCACACACAGGCACCCGTGCGCAAGCAAACACTCAGCCCGGCGCATAAACACACACATGCATAATAACAAACACCAGCCTTCACAAGAATGTGTTCAAATACAAGCGAACAAATATAAACACAGAAATAAGCGCAGGCGTAACAGCATGGCGACACCAATGTGAGTACCGTTGGGCAGAGTACTGTCGGCGAGCAGCTATCAAGGGCCAGAATTACGGACGAGGGTAGTCGTCTGACCAGCAACACACCCGGCAGGACCGCCTTTGTCTCCCCACCACTCGTTGTTGTTGTTTAAACACCACACCAGACACTCGTTTCAGGCCGAGTTGACCTCTGATATCAGCCGTGGCTGGGAATCGAATTTGAGAAAAGCTACATTCGGTGACGCGATTTTTATAAAAACGCTCGTTATGTTAATAGCCATTCTCCACTAAGTGGCGGAGATGTCACCACAGCTCTTGTGCCAGGCTAGGTGCACTTTGATGCGACTGGCAGGAGGTTATGGGCCAGACACATCTGCCGGGTCAAACACACACACACACACAAGCAGACAGAGAGGTACGCAATTCCATACACACAGATGTACGAACGCACTAAACCTGCACAAGAGCCGATTCTCACCTAGTCCCGTAACCGGCAACACACCTGGGCTTCCCTGGCCGCCTTCACGTGGCAAGCCGAGAGGACGTCTGTCAACGTGGGCGCTATCCCGTTGTGCCATTAACGGGGTTCAAGTTGTGGTCACGCAACGAGGAGCCTGTCCCATTATTCGACAGTGACATATAGTTTTGGGAAGTGGCCGGACGGCGAGCTTGTGTTTTTTTTAAATGTATTTGACGCGCCTGGAACTTGCTTTGGCATTCTTTGGCTACGTGTGGATGCACAAAGGTTATTTTGTCGGAGGGTAAACCAAAGGTCTCCTCTCTCGCGCGCGCTCGCTCACTCTTGCATTGTAAGCACACATTAAACAGAAAGAACCCCACGTGAATCAACAACGTACGGATGGGTTTTTTTACGTTAAATTTGTAAACAAAATGTGCTCATTACCTACCTTTAGAATTACTATATATAAAAAAACGTGAAATATGTTTTTATGTAAGCATAAAAAAACCAGGCGGTACATCCGTACTTGGCCAGTCATAACAGTGCAACGAGTCAAGTTCATATGGGATAGGGGTAGTTAGGCGTTCTGCACATTCACCAATTTGTTGGTAGGACTGCGTGAAGTGGACTGTGTCCGGTTGTAGCCTGGTCTGGGAAGAAGTTAAACGGATAAAATACAGACCGTGGGGTGGGCATAAGTAGAAATATTTTGAGAGGGCTTATTACAGTGTATTAACCAATGTTATGTTTTTTCACGTTATATCATCTGTTGGATAACTGACCCGTGCTTAACTGTTTTTTATATATATTATATATAAACTGACAATTCATGTATCACCAGAGTATGTTTGTTGTCGTGTTTTTCAGACTTGATGCCTTGAAATAGGTGTGTGTCTATTTCTTGTTTGGACATTTTAACGCCTGTTTCATTGCCAGGGTAAGGGACTATCTTGAGTTTTAATGTCACAAGGCTATGTGGGGGGTGATCTTAGCCTGTGTGTTTATTAACCACTCCGTGCTTGCTGCTGCTGCTGCTGTTGTTGTTGTTGCTGTTGTTGTTGCTGCTGTTGTTATTGTTGTTGCTGCTGCTGCTGATGGTGTTGTTGCTGCTGCTGCTGTTGTTGTTGCTGCTGATGGTGTTGTTGCTGCTGCTGCTGCTGTTGTTGTTGTTGCTGCTGCTGCTGTTGTTATTGTTGTTGCTGCTGCTGTTATTGTTGCTGCTGCTGGTGTTGTTGTTGTTGCTGCTGCTGCTGTTGTTGTTGTTGTACCCTGGCAGCGGTGAACTCGTGTGCGGTGAACAAGGGCGGCTGCGAGCACGACTGCGTGCAGCTGGGAGGGGGACAATACCAGTGCAGGTGCCGCCACAACTTCCGCCTCAAAGAAGATGGGAAGCAGTGCGAACGTAAGCGAGGCCCCCTCTCCGGCCTCCTGCCATCGATATTCGCCATCGATCCACTGCTGGATGACGGGCCATCCCCGAGGCGGCCCGGTGATCCTGCGAAGCATTAACCAACCGGGCGCCCGCACACGAGCCGATTTTAGATAGCAAACGGGATCCCTCCATCAGCGGACATTCCCTGAGACCCATTGTGCATACATCTGCACACGTTCTTACATATTGAATACACTGTAACATGTGATCGTTTTAGCGTAGTCATTATAGCATGCTATTTTCTTTATTGAGATGTGTTCTGTGGGTGATATCCAACGAAGGTAAACATATTTTAACTTTAATTTGACTTGCAGAACACGGCTTAGGTGCGTTACCGTCGAGAGGTCGAATAACTTTTGTTGTTGTTGCAAAATCCAAAGAAAATTCCATCACACCCAACAGCCAACCTTAAGCACCCAGACGCACTCTGACAGCTTGCCGAACTTTTCCTCATCCATTAAACATATCTTCAGATCGTTATCAAATAAATTGTTACTGCTCGCATTCCCACCGCCCTAAAAGATGATTTTCGTCTTCTAACAACGTCTCGAGGGAGGGGTTGCCTGTCACGTGACTGTCAGTGTTCAAGTTTAAAGCGTCTTCGGGCTGGGATCAATCCGCGGGCCGAGCCAGCACTTTGCCCTGTATGTTTGGAGTAATTGGAGACAACTTTCAGCCCGCCCCCCCTACCCCCACCGCTCCCGCTTAATGCTGAGCAAACAGCAATGCGGGCATTAAGTACAAAAGTGCTTACGTTTTAACTGAGCACCTGCTTCAAGAATCCGGGAGGGGAGGAAGCATTAGCGGACCCTGCTGAGGGCGATGCTGATGGGGGGCATTCAGTCTCATGGCCGATCCAATGAGCTTCTAACGGAAAATAAATAAATAAAAACCCGTATAATTCATTATACCGGTGTCGTATGCCGGTATAATTAATTACACACAGCAGCATTCATGTGTGCACCACAGTTAGCCCACCGGCAGTAAAGTGGGGTAAAGTGTGGGTACTCTCACCTCACCAAAGGTGTCTGACCAGCTTGTAAGAGTCGGCCAAGCATAACGTCTAGATGGGGCTCTTTTTGCCAGCAGTGCTGTGACCAACAATTGCAGACCCTGTGACGTCACCTTTATAGTTGGCCGGCATTCCGGATAAAATCCCTTATTTAATTTCCATCTCTTAAAATGTTCTATGAGCTTGAGCACGTTTTATGCAATTGTTTTAGGTTCTGCTTATACAGATGCAGATAACCCATAATAAAAAAAATATTATCTTACCAACTCCTCCCCGGCCCCTACAATCACTGCGTTCCGAGCTGACTCACGGGGGTAAAGGATGAAATGTTAATGAAAGAAACAGGGCTAGGAGTGATGCCACTTTGGCGACACTTTATTATAAAATACGGCGGTGATGCGACAATTATGTCACTCCAGCACTTATAAATATTACCATGGAAGATTGTGTCTTCATAATGAAGTTTCAAACTTGTCATGCAGCCTGGAACGCACGGCCAATGTACTCACCTACAACACAAGAGAGGGTTTGTTTCGTAGTTTAAATATTAGAACAATCTTGATTCGAAGCTTTCGTGACCGCAGGAATCCATACTCTTTGGTTCTTTCGGTAAAGTCACGTAGGTAGAAAAAATATAATAGATCACGACGTTTCGATCGTAACACAAGCAACCGTCATCAGGTGTGAAACAAACACATCAAGAGGACTGCTGACGTACGAAAGTCCTGCTGCTGTCTTTGTTTCACACCTGATGACGGCTGCTTGTGTTGCGATCGAAACGTCGTGATCTATTATATTTTTTCTACCTACGTGACTTTACCGAAAGAACCAAAGAGTATTAGAAGATTGGTTGTTCTATAGAGTAACTTGGCCCTATCACAGGTTCAGAGACCCAAAATGAGAGGCGTCACACCAAATAGTCACTTTAGCAGGAATCCACTTTAAATATTAACGAAACAGCAGATTGAAGTGGCTAAACCAAATGTACATGCCGTCAAGATTGCTTCAACGTGATTCATTATGTTTGTTCAAGCATTACGTGAATAGAGGCATTGTATTCTGATAATAACTTAGAGTCAATCGAATCGATTCTGGAACCTTTCATGGTGCAATGGTTTGGGGTAGTGGGGTAAAGTGTGGGTACTTTCACATCTTCCAGCACGGCATAGTGCCAAATACCCCCTTGATGGGGCTTTCTCGAGTAGAGGCCCTCCAGTGGAGACCCTTGGCGTCATCAAGGCATTTGCAGGGCTGCACCGTTACCAGTTAGAATCTAATCGTGCAGCGTTGGTAAAAACAAATGTATGCTTGTGAAAATTGCAGGCCCGTATTATTTTTTGCTGTCATCCCCCCCCCAGCCCCACCTCCGATTAGCACGGTTGGCTCCGTATGGTGCGAAAGAAGTTCAACATAAATGCATACAATCGGAAGACGAAGCAAATCTTCGTACGATTTGCTATTTTGCAACGCGTTACAAACATGGATTTATGAGAAGCTTTGTCCGTTGCAGTGAGGAATCCCTGTGGCGACCGGAACGGAGGTTGCATGCAGAAGTGCGTCAGCGACGGTGGCGTGGCCAAGTGTCTGTGTCACCCTGGATACCGGTTGGGTGTTGATGAAAAGAGTTGTGATGGTGAGTGAAGCATGGTTGGGTGTTGATGAAAAGAGTTGTGATGGTGAGTGAAGCATGGTTGGGTGTTGATGAAAAGAGTTGTGATGGTGAGTGAAGCATGGTTGGGTGTTGATGAAAAGAGTTGTGATGGTGAGTGAAGCATGGTTAGTCTTATTCTTCTAACTGTCTTCTTTTGCATGGCCCAGGAGTTGAATTTAGATTAAAAAATGAATTGCTTTAGAACTGCTTTTTGTGTGTTTAGTTTGTTGTCCTGCCCCCACACCTCCGATGAGCACGGTTGGCTATGTACGGTGCGAAAGAAGTCCAACATACGTCCATACGTATAGTTTTAGGGCTGTGGTTGAGTGTCAAATTGATGGCTTGGGTGGAAGAGAAAAAAAAGTGGATTGACCCGATTTCCCCCAGTCAATGAGCACGTGAGGGCGACGACGTTCACGATGCGTCCAGTTCCTGGGGAAACCACATCCCACCTGCATCACAAGTAAATGTGTTTGTCTCTGCTGCAAGAGTTCGAGCGGCCGCGTCACGCCGCCCTCACAGAGCGTTTGCGCGATGCTCTGCATTGTCGATTGGCAGCGTTGAAACGTTGGACGTAAGTGCCCAGCAACGTTTGGTACAACCCGAAGCACATCGGAGAACAATTTACCTTTAGCCCTTTGCATGGGCTCGTGGCAAATTGCCTCGAATTTCATCTTCCACTTATACAACAACAACAACAGCTAACATGGGAAGCTCTGATGCGAATTATTATTGTCCATTGCTCGTGTGGGATGCTCATTCCTGGAACATCGATGGTGGGATCGCTGACTAGTTGCGTGTTATCCATGCCTCTACTAAGATCCTCCACAGTGTTCTTCATTGCAAGGCCCGCGGGCCACTGGCAGCCCCTGGTGGCCTTTAGTGCGGCTCCAGACGTGCGCCCCCGACAATACCGTACACAACAGACGTGAAAACGCCCCCATCATGCTGTCAAACCCCAGTGTGTGTTTTTTGAATGTGTGGCAGCCCTCAGTCTGATGAGGTCTTATTGGCGAAAGTGGTCCCCCACCCCCCCCCCCCCTCAGAAAATTCATGTAGACCACTTGGTCTATGCCAAGATAAATTCTGAGGAAATTATAAGATTAATGAATATGCTTGTGTCGCCGTTTTAACACCGCACCACAATCCAACACGCCCCATGTCTTTGCTTGATGCTGCACATTATTGGCAAATCTCGTCGTTTCTCATCTCCCAGTAACCTCCCAGGCTCAATTAGCCCCGTAAACAATGGTCCGATTGAACCGATGGAAAATTGAGAATCACGCACAGTTATGACTTGCAGTCACCAATCCCCAAACCGTGGAACGCACTTTAACACCATTGTCATCTCCCCCCCCCCCAACCCCACTTTGAAAATTTGCCGCCAGCATTTCAGATATTCACCGGGCCACGTAAAACATTTATGTTCAACTCCCCACCGTACGAGAGAAGATCGATAAGTGAGGTGGCCTTAATCTTAGTCAGCTCAGCCTAAAACAAGATTCTGGTACAACGTGTCGATTACAGAAATTTGAGGATAAATTAAAAGTGCTTCGCATGGTGCTTGCCCCAAATTCGAATCGTTTTCTGAAATATATATATATTTCTCGCATGCTCATGTGTGCATGCAAATGAATTATTAATTATACCGTTTTTTTTAATACGCACAGCTCATAATAATAATAATGTCAATATTTAACAAGTGAAAAGGCTGCAGGCGTGTGCATGTGTGAAATGAACGTGCAAACATTTGCAATCACTTACGAGCAGCGCGTAGATCAAACGGAACTCAAGCGAAATCGCGCGTCGCACTCGCAACACGCTCTCCGTCGTCGCGAGGCCTGCCGCGACGATACACGCTCGGAATCCCATCGGTTTTTTGACACGCGCTGCCTCCGTACGATCCTCGCAGGGCTTTGCTGCCCACCTCCCTTCCCCTCCGACCCAAGGTCGCCGATTCCCCGTAATCGAGGCGGCTGCCGTCGCTCCGTGCCGCTTTGTTTGTAGACATTGACGAGTGCGATCTGGAGACCAGCATGTGCGTGCATAGCTGCCGCAACACGAGGGGCTCCTTCGTCTGCCAGTGCAACCCCGGCTACGAGTTGGGCTCCGATGGAAAGCAATGCTACCGTAAGTGTTTGGAATGTATATTTGCGTGCGTGAACGTGTGTGTGTGTGAGTATGCGCATATGGATGCTGCCGGCCGGCGGAATTGTTGGCACACTTTTTACTTGCAATCCAGAGGCCGCCGGTTCAATGCGGTGTGCTAAGCAGCAGAAGCAGCAGAAACAATGGGCAAGTTTATTAAATGCACCTATGCACCACGGTTAGTAATCGGTTGGCAGGTCGTCTGGGGTGGGGTGACGTGTGGGTACTCCCACCTCTTCCAAGACTTTTGAACAGTATGCAAGAGTGGGCCAAATGCATGATGGGCTTTCAATAGTAGAGGCCCTTACACCAGCATAGCCGTGAGCAAGCGGTTGCAGGGTTGTGCCACCTCTATATACTGACATGGAGATAATACGCATGTGTCACTATAGCTGCCACAATACAGTGGGGCCCATACAAAAACAAAGACTTAACATACTTTGGGGGCAAGTGCTGTTATAGCGAGTACCTATGAAGTCTGGCACGGCACACGAGGGGGTGAGTGGCCAACAACACACCCGGCTGCCTTTGTCTCATCAGCGGCAATGTTTACACACAGCACCAGGTACTCATTTGAGGCCGAGTCGACCTATGGAAGGCCCAGGACCGTCACTGGTTTTTGACCATGAGCGGGAATTTAACCCGGGTCGCTGGGTTCATAGCGCAGCGTGCTAACCACTGCGCCACTGCTCCCCATACACCTACACGCAGACACACACACAGACATATACGTGACTTTACCGAAAGAACCAGAGTATGGATTCCTGCAGTCACGAAAGCTTCAAATCAAGATATACGTCAGTGGTCCGACGATTTACCCTACCATGAAATTGTAACAATTCAGGGTTGAAATTCAATGCAAGGTTATTATTATTTTATCACGGTGAATGGCAGCACCACCCGCGGCTACAGTGGTGACATACGCCCATTGTAAACAACGTAGCAATTGAAAAAACAAACCCTTGATTCTCACCCTTGTGATCATGAGCGCACTTGCACGAGCTTTAAGATATCCACATGCGTCAATTAATCGATCCTACCATTAACATACGAACCCTACAGACGTTCACAGGGCTGCAAGTTTGTGAACACACAGGCAATGGATACTGCTGCGCAACTGATAAATGCAACAGGAATTGGAGGACCGAATTCGAGCACCGATCGTAAAAAAATAAAAAACGTCATGTAACATCATTATTAGGGTCACGCTCGTTTGGGGCAGACGTAATGAAGGTGACGGAGCTCCAATAAGAAAATGCAAGGATGGCCTCTTGGCTGGGCATGAAGACAATTACGTGGGTCAGGGCTGGGGGTGGAGCCACCGTAATGGTCACCAGACTCCCGACCACGTTCCACATATTACAGCTGCCACTTTTCTAATTCGCATGGATATGCATCGCGTTGGCGGCGAGGCTCCCCTTTTCGTCACAATTTCAATCTTTGGCCACAGGTCAAGGTCATGGCGAAGCTACCTCAAAAAAGTATGGCTCATCATTGTATTGCACATCTTAAATCAATAATGCTCAATAATTTAAACTGATCGTATAACGCTCAGACTGGATAAAATTTTGCATCTCGTTGGCTATGCATTTGAAATCGAGTAGCTTTTTTAGATAGCGCCGACCTTAACACACGAAACGAATCAATTTTACTTTAGTTTACCAGGTAAGGCCCACTGAGCTATGTAGCTTTTTTCAGACTCGACCTGCCCACGAATGATAGAGCAATGATGTGGCTTATCACGTGGAAATGTATAGCAGCCAAATACTCTAAATAAATGGTTCTTAACCTGCGGTGGACGCACCCAGTGGTAGTGCGAGATTCCCTTTCTGGGGTTGCGAGACATGTCCAGATTTTTATGGAAAGGAAAATCATTGAAACACAAATTAAGCACGGGCACGTAAGTGCGAGTACTTTGTTTCATCAAACCTACGTCTTTATTTACATTATATATACATTTATGTTTTTTTTACGATTGAGAACCAAAGGGGTCCAAGGATGCAGTAAAGGTTAAGAACCACTGTTCTAAATGAAAACGAAAGCACGTGACGTTCGCATGACGTTATAACACCACGAAGACTGACGATCATCAGTTCTATTCCACATTATTGAAACGAGCACTAAACATCTCAATCCATCGACAGAGAGAAAGGGAGGGGGGGGGGGAATAAAAACCAAAAAAGATATTTTATAAATTTACCACCTTAACAACTTTCCCGCAAACACAGAGCACCGTCGCTGGAATTTTCCAGCCGTGGCATTGAGAGTGTTGCGATTTGCATAGCCACCGCATGCGTGCAGGAAAATTCAATCCGACGCTTCCTCGCCACCGCCGCCGCTACTGCGCAACGGGCTCAAACTAAAAAACCTGCAAAGCCTGCCGCAGAAGCTTCAGCGAGTGGAGCCGCCACCGATTTCATTGCAGCCGCCGCTGGCTCACACACAGCCCCGTGCACGCGTGTGCGTGCGTGCGCGTGCGTGCGTGCGTGTGCGTGCATGAGCAGGCATCGAGATGGAGATCGTGAACAGCTGCGAGAAAGACAACGGCGGCTGCACGCACACGTGCCAGCACGCGACGCAGGGGCCACGCTGCCTCTGTGACAGCGGCTTTCACCTGGACGTGGACGGCAAGACGTGTAGAGGTACCCTCGCCGTTCCGCCCTCCGTTTAACCTGCAAGCGCGTACGAGCGCCGCGGCGTGATAATGCACCCCCTGGCAGAGCGTTTACAGAGAGAAGGCTTCCGGCAAGCGTGCTCACGGTTCGCCTCCACCATTCAAGGTTCGCGATTCGACTCGATGATCAATGACAAAATGTTCTGTTTTTTTTTTTGTCTCGGTTTTTCTCGTTTCTCATTTTTATTCATCCCTTCAGCCTAAACGTATCACTATCATCCCCGTTCGCGCATACTTTGCGTGAATCGTAAATCATCGATTCATATTCCATGCGTGATATCGTGAATGTTAGAAGCCATCGTAATATATTCATCAAACCCTTGTTATATTCCAGCGATTTAGTATGCACACAAACTCTTGAATAATTTTGCTCACGTACATGCAAAAAAAAACCTGCTCTTTGCGGAGACATTTTTGCGGCACTCGTGCCAAGCTGGGTCTCACTTTTAGGCTACGTCAAGTGGTGAATGCTCGCCGGTAGGAGGTAACTGGACAGACCCAGATGGTATGAGTTAACAGTAGGGTTAGTATGATTGGTTATTTCGGTAAAGTCACGTAGAAGGGAAACAATAAAATAATAAAAATATAAAACAATAATATTCTCACGACGTTTCGACTGCAACACAAGCAATCATCATCAGGTGTGAAAACCACAGTAAGAAAATTTGAAAAAAGTGGCGGTTTTTTAACGTTAGCACCACGGAGAGCGATTTGACAGTTTGTTCAGATGGACGAGTCCATCTATGTTCGGAAAAGAGGAGGGGGGGAGACGAAATAAAATGGATGCGGTCTGAAAGTGTTAGTGCACACCCCAGAGTGCTAACTTGTGTTTCAGCCAAGCAGTGCTCTGCTTGTGCTTGTGCAAAGACAAATATGCCCTGTATAGCCTTAACAGACTGTTGGGGCTAGTGCTGTTAGCGAGCACCTATGAAGGCCAGCACGGCACATGGAGGGGGGGGGGGGGGGTGGTGAACACCATGCCTGGCCGCCTTTGTCTCCCAAGTGGCGATGTTTACACACAGCACCAGGTACTCGTTTGAGGCCGAGTCGACCTAGGGGAGTGCCAGAACCGGTACAGATAATCGTTACTGGTGTTGACCGTGAGTGGTTATTGAACTCGGATCGTCGGGTTTGTAGCGCAACGTGTTCACCTTCATGCCGTTGTGCTAACTTGCACACATTATTTGCATATGAACGTTAACAACACAATTTTTTTCCAAAAGTAGTAATTATGTTACGTATATTTTGAACCCACTTTGTTGGTCTTTAAATAAATTACATAAATGTAAAGTATTGCATGCTAAAAGCTATAAAATGTTATCAAGTGTGGCATATATATAATATATATTTCATTGTCCCATTATGCAAGATTAAGGGTAAGTAACCATAATCAAACTGTAATTCAAAGAACCCAATAACAGTAATAATAAATACATTTGAAAGATAAATACATAATATGTTTTCACGTTAACATTATTACACGGGCATTACCACCTTAACATTATGCCAAATATTTAATTTCAAACAGTTCACGCTCAGAGGTTCATACCCATTCATCAAACAGACATTAAAACCCAACAGGATTTGCCAATCTTGAAAACAACACCCACATTTGCGTTGTTACAAATGACAATAACCAAAATCAAATCTAGGCGATGTGCAATCCACATAATCTGGAGTGGTGTTTTCACTACAATGAGAGCACACTTTGGCTTGTGCCTGTTTGCGCTGTGACTGGGGAGAAGGTGCGTGGCTCTGCGTGGAGTCTGCGTTGATCGAAAGGGAGGGGGTGCCAACCCCACAGCACATGCCAGTTTGCACTTGTGGCTACTGCTGCTGCAACAGCCAACAAACAGCACCACCCTCTGTGGGCACCTGGACACACATTGCCACGCTACAGGAGGAGAACGATCAGCATAGGCACGGACTTTCGTGCATCGGCGAGAAAACACGTCTTTGGTTAACCCGCGAGGAACTGGTACACCTTTGCAGCACGCGGGAGGGAAACCAGAGTGACCACTGAGAAAGCCCGCGCACCCATGGGAAAGGAACACAAAAGCTTCACACAGGATATATCAGCCACCTACTTGCTGTACTACCTATGTGGCTGCTCTAGATGATTGCTTAAGTGCAATAAAATCTTTATTGTGACCCGCCAGACCTGTCACCTAGCCGCTGGTCTGCATGCATCTCTGCCACCTCAACTTTGCGCATGCAAAACAAAAGCGTCTCCACGCTCCAAAGAGTCACGGCCTGCCGGGCGTCCCATCTCCATTGCTGGACCCGAGCCAGGAGCGGGGATCCTACATGCGCATGTCTGGAGGCCATTGTGTCCGCATGGCAAAAAAACACCGTTGATTTACACACGCAAAATTGTGACTCAATGACATAATGAGCCCAGAGGGACGTTTGGCCGAGTAACCAGGGAGGTGCCACAGAAATAGATACAGGTAAAGGTGTGCATCCCGGCCCATGACACTGCTGGCAGGGAGGGCCTCCATTACAGGGGACATCAAGGGAGCCTCTCCGGAGGGCAATTGAGGCCTTACTTTTCCAACGCTGGACAGACGTCTTGGAATGGGTGGGGAGTGACCGGGATTTTACTCCACCACACATGACCAGCCGATCAACCTGCCGGTGGTGAACCCATAAGCATCGCAGGGTGATCAGAGGTCGGGAAGCAGGGGATGCATTTTAGAAACCTGCATCCCATTGTTTCAACTGTGGCACTGGGAGATCGGACCGGCGACCCCTCTGGATTGCAAGTCCAGTGCGCCGACCATTATGCAGCCACAGAAGCAGTACCTTGCTGAACTATATTTTTTTTACCAGGTAAGGCCCACTGAGCGATATAGCTCTTTTTTCAGAAGTGATCTGGCCACAAATGATAGCTCAACAAAGTGGCTTATCACGTGGAATAATATCGTGTCCAAATACTCTGAAACGCGTGTTCCTAAATGTGGAGGGAAAAAAAACTTGAGGATCCGGAGAAAACTCTACGCCACCACGGGGAGAGAGAACACGCAAGCTCCAAATGCTCTGGCGTCAGGGTCAGGATTGAACCCGCCACCTCTCGTATACCAGGCGAGGGAGATAGGTAGCCCCCGGCAAATATTGAGGCGCAGCGACACGTCGGGAATGAAACGTGCCGTGAGAACCTGGTGAAAGCCGCTTACAATCGGCAGCTGCTACAACGCGGTGACGATCGCCGACGTGTGACGAGTGATGCCGCTACTCGCTTGCCTGTGCTGCTGCCCGCGTACAGACACCGACGAGTGCTCCGAGGAAGGTTCCTGCTGCGCGCAGTTCTGCAGCAACAACGCCGGAGGCTACGAGTGCGGCTGCCGTGCCGGCTACCGCATCGGCCTCGACGGATGCAATTGTGACGGTAACGATCGCCACCTCTCCGTCTCACGGCGGGCACAGATCACGGGGCTTGGGGATTTCTCGCATTGATGAGGCTGTGCGCTCGCGATCCCTGTTCCTCGCAGCGGCGGCGGCCGAGCCAAGTGGTGGAATTACACGCATCCACGTCAGGCGCCCAAGTCTCTCATTGCAATGACCACGATTGACTCGCCACAAATGTTTTACGGAGATGCGGCTAAGGATTGGAACGGGTACCAAGAGCACGTGCACAATGAAAATGGAGCAATGAAATCGTCTCGAGAGCAGGTGCTCTCCATGGATTATTAAAGTGCAGAAACTTTGAAAGACGGGCGATGATTTGGGGAGGCCCTCATCCAGCAGTGGACTGATCATAGACAAGAATGATGATGATGATAAACATGGTACCGATTATATCGACCCTGTAGGGATGCTAGTCTCGTTCAACCCACAACCACGATTTGAATTCGCAGAACCTCCTCATTGTTATTCTGCAACAGCGCGGTAGTATTAGAGGGCAGTCTTCGTGAATATCCGCTCGGCTAATAGCTCTGGTTTCACGAAGCTATCGCGATTTACTAATGAGTCTCCGAGCTTTGCGAACACTTAACCCGACGCAGCTAAAAACCAAGCAAACACATTCACAATGCAGCGCCCCAGAATTATTTTCAAGGGCTCGAGCGCGATCGATCAAGCTTCGCGAATGCGACTCGCACGCTGCCCCGATTGCCAGCTCGCGACTCGTGCAGTCTCAATTGCCCACCGCCGCTGGCGTGCCTCCACTTTTTCGCAACGCCGCAGTCTTGGTTTTTATCACGAGTAATGATAAATAAAAAAGAAAACGATTTCGGCGACCGTTAAGCGTTGGCCGAAACGCTCCGTGTGCAGCAGCAGCGGCAAAGAGGAAACACTTCCTCACTCTGCAACCGTTGCAGATTCACCCCAAAGCCAGGGGAGCGATTACAAAAGAGCGGGCGAGTTTAGCCCACCGGAGTTTATTGTCTCAGTCTGAACGGCGTCTCTCGCTAGGTCGCAGAATCGAGAGAAAAATGTTCGCGGCGGGGAAAACTAGAGATTGTTACAGCACGGTTGGGGTAGTGGGCACGTTCAGGAATGCGCCGTTGCAGTCCTTCTTTGCTGTTGCTCGAAAATATATCGGTGTTCCAAAGCCTGCGGGCCTCTCAGTGCTTACAATGGCCCTAATGACCGAGTGTGCGCTGCAGCTGGTCCTAATCTTCGGTGTGGTTTGATGCATTAAACGCGTTCAATCAGATCCCCCTTGTAGTCGCGTTTGAGATTTTTTAAATATGGAAGGATTTTTGGGGCTAATTGCATGTGCCCATGGCACACGCCTGACACAGAGTTGAACAGATTAATGCAAAAATAAATACTTACGGAATTTGAGAGAATATATATTACTTCCACAATTTAATTGGATTATGGTTATCATAACAATGGCTATTATTTTTAATGCTATTATTTGCTATGATATTATATTATTTATAGACATTTTTTTCCTGAATGAGCAATTGAGTGGCACTCATCCTTACTGATGGTCCTAAACCAGAGGAGGAAAGTCCCTATTCTCATGTTGGAGGCCAGTCTATCAATAGGACGACCATGGCCGACTTTTCAAAACAGTGGAATACAATTTATTGACCTCAAAGGGATCATAAGTTGTTATCAGTCATACTTTATTTTGTCAACCGTTGGATTCTCATCCTTGTGATTGCAAGTGACGAGAGTTCAATTCTCGATCATGACGAGACAACAGTGGAACGAGCAATACCTGAACCAGTCCCTGGCTTTCCCGTCCACTTCACCAGCCCACTCTGACCAGCGTGGTGAAATATGGTAAAAAATATATATATATCCCCATGCAGGCGGTGCTGAACATTATAATTATTAAGTTAAATTTATAAAAAGCAAACTGAAAAAAAACAAGACCCGTTCGTCCGTTATTTTTCTTTTTTGGTTCGCAGATGTGGACGAGTGCCTGGCGGAAAACGGGGGCTGTGAACAGCTGTGCCGGAACAATGAGGGCTCTTACGAGTGCTCTTGCCGCAGGGGCTTCCGCCTGGATGAGGAGAGGAGGGGATGCATCCGTAAGGGCCCTTCACACGCCCAGGCACCCCCTCCGCAATCTCTGACCCCCCCCCCCCCCCGGCTTCCTCTCCCTGCCACCCTGAACGTTGCCACGCGTGTCTCTGTGCGTGCGGGACGGGGCGGCGTGGCTGGTGGTGGCAGCTGCGCTTCCAAATCGGTGACGGGATTTTACCTCCCTCGCCTGGTATTCAGAAGGTGTCCAATCCCCGTTCCTGGCACCTGTATATTTTATTTGTAGTTTTTATTGTTCTCTTTCCCCGTGGTGGTGTTTATTTTTCTCCAGGTCCACATTTGGAATCAACATGCGTTTAGAGGATTTGGCTGATATCAATTTCCACGTGATAAGCCACTTCCTTGAGCTATCATTTGTGGCCAGGTCGCTTCTCAAAAAGCGCTACATTGCTCAGTGGATCTTACCTGGTAAAATAAAAAATCTAGAATTATATATCTGGTCCTAGGCTTCCCCGAGGTCGAATCAGCCTCAAATGAGTACCTGAACGATGTGTAAACATCGCCACGTGGGAGACAAAGGTGGCCGGGCATGGTGCAGGCCAACCCACCCCTACGTGTGTTGTGGCGAGGTTCATTAGGCGCTCGCTAAGAGCATTTGCGCCAACATTCTGTTGCAGCTATACGGGAGATCTTTGTCTTTGTGCAGCACTTCAGAGGCCATTTCAGTTATTTATGAACATTCAGCGCTAAGCCCAGTAATGAGGCTGTTAAAGTACCAGCAATATCACACACACTGCCATTAGATATCGTGTAAAGTAACAGTGCAAGTATCTAACAGATCAAACTACCAGTGGCCTTTGAGCTATTGCAATGAATTACAATGTTGCAAAGTGTTAGTTTACGATAAGCATATGCTCGAGATATAAAACTTAAAAAAGGAAGAAAAAACGATGCACATGCAATGACTTCTCTAACGCTTTCCCACATGCATTCATCCTCGGAAACATTTAATTGGCGATAACCGTAGGCAGCTATCAGACAGCCGGGCTCTGATTGCGGCTCTGTTGAAGGGGGTCACAGGCCATTCTCCCAAAGGGTGAGCCCCAAAGAGAAACAAAACTTAATCCTGCAGGTTTGTTCGTGAAAAATAAGAATAGGTTTTACCCTTTCTGACAATAAAACAGGTGTTGAGATTTTCAAACACTAAATAGATACCATTTGCAAGGCAACAAGTCTGCATTAACCACACGTACTTGTGGTGAACATGCAAACAAACATGCTCTGATAAAAATTTGGCATTGTATTTGAAACCGATTGGCCTACACTTGAGACGGACTTTTTTATGGCCTAGCCTCAGCAGTGTCAGATCAGAGAACGCCAAAAGGACTACCTCATCACAGATCTGCAGCTGAAAAGATGACAAATGGACAGAGCTAATGCGTTACGCGCAAACACATTCAACCTCGGTTGTGCGGCATTACTAAAGGGCCTGCAATTATACACGTGTATAACTACGTACAAATGTGCATTATAAATTTGAATTATTGCGCGAATTAATACCCATTATAAATATTAATGAAAATGTTTATGAAATTGAAGAGACTGATCCATCATTTAATGTTATACTGTTCTGACAAGTGCCGCTCGCCAGCACCGTGTTGCCTACCCCCCCCCCTCTCCATTCCTCATCATGACACCACAACAACAACATCCGAGTGTTTACAGACTAGGGAAGGCCTGAGATGAGGTTCGCTTACAGGCTCTGGGCTTTCGATGACAGACAGGAAATTGAAACAAATCTGGGAAAATATACAATTAAAAATTAATAATGCAAAAGCAAACTATGCTGAACAAGACTGGGTGTAATACAAAAACACAATGCAGAGCAACACTTCCCCCATCCACTCAGTGAAGCTAGACTTTGAGAATCTGTGTCTGTGTGCACGTGTTCACATGCAACATCCCTGCAAGTGAGATCCTCCGTCTGTGTGCATACACATGCACGGCTCTGCAAGTGACATCCTCTGTGTGTGCATGCTCGGCTCTGCAAGTGAGATCCTCTCTGTGTGTGCATGCACGGCTCTGCAAGTGAGATCATCTCTGTGTGCATGCACGGCTCTGCAAGTGAGATCCTCTGTGTGTGTATGCACGGCTCTGCAAGTGAGATCCTCTCTGTGTGTGTGCATGCACGGCTCTGCAAGTGAGATCCTCTCTGTGTGTGCATGCACGGCTCTGCAAGTGAGATCATCTGTGTGTGTATGCACGGCTCTGCAAGTGAGATCCTCTCTGTGTGTGTGCATGCACGGCTCTGCAAGTGAGATCCTCTCTGTGTGTGCATGCACGGCTCTGCAAGTGAGATCCTCTCTGTGTGTGTGCATGCACGGCTCTGCAAGTGACATCCTGCGTGTGTGCGCATACACATGTATATCCCTGCAAGTGAGATCCTCTGTGTGTGTGTGTGTGTGCATACACATCCACGGCCGTACAAGCGCGGTCCTCCGTGTGTGCGTTTCTCCAGCTCTGGAGGGGGCCACGGAAGACCAGGGCACGGAGGAGCTGCGTGGGCAGACGCGGCTGAGCAGCACCGTGCGCCTGCGCCCTGTCGAGCAGACCTACCAGTGGGTGCCGCGCGAGGAGGCCGAGTGGGGGGCCTTCGGGGACGCAGAGGCCAGCGAGTACCGCGAGGGGGACAGCGACGAGGAGGAGGAGGGTGACGATTTCCTCGATTATGGACCCCAGGAGCACCGACGTCAGGAGCACACACTCGTCCAGAAATTCAGTGGGTCCTGCTCGGTGGGAGAGGGAGGGAGAGGGGATAGAGAGACAGAGAGCGGAGGTGCAATTAAAAATGATACGTTGTTATCATTGAGCTATACACTGCAAAGAGCATGCTTAAAGGACATTTAAAGGTGGCAATTGCGACGCAAAATACTTCAAAGCTCAATGCAACATGTTGCGACACTTGACAAGTGCTTACTCTGCCTTGTATTCCAAGGCAAAGCAAACACTGTGTACTCAGTGCAGATTTGTTTTGTTTCACACCTCCCATATGCTTCGTATAATTATTATCATGATAATGGTTTAAAGGGGTAGTGCTATTGTGGTGCTTAGTGCAATGCATTTGTGAAGCGGGGAAACTCGCATTCGATTCCTTACAGTATTTGGCTGCTATGAATTGAATTTACACGTAATAAGCCACTACATTGGGATATTATTTGTGGCCAGGTAGCATCTGAAAAAAAAACTTTTATAGCTCAGTGGGCCTTCCCTGTTAAAATATAAATAATGTATCGGTTTTTTTTTTCCTGGCCACGGCAAAATCAGTGGCGAGTGAAATGTGAACATTCCAGCCCTTCCTCATACCCCAACCCCCCGGCGCCCTTCACCAACCTGCACTGACCATTATGGTGAAGTATGATCGACTATCCCCCCCCACCACCTCCCCCCTATGATCGACATTCTTTCACAAAGGGCTGTTCATTCTTGTTTGTTGTTGTTGTTGCTGCTGCAAGTAAAATAAATAAAACAACAGCTTAGGAGGAGGACCTGCCGTGCTCAGTGAGAGCAGGAAATACAATTGCGCTACGCTAGGCAACAGCAAAGTATGTTTTATTTCCCGAGACTTATCCTGGCCCAGGCGAGTGCGTCTCGACGCTTGTTATTCGTTCCGAGCACGCGTGCCCGTGATTCACTAGCCGAGAGGTTCGCCTTTTTGTTGTTATATATATTTTTTTTACGAGCCGCGTCCCCGTGGCTTAAACCCATGGCGACGTGGCGTCTCTCCGCAGTTTGCCTGGGCGAGACGTTCGGCCACGACTGCAGCCTCTCGTGCTCCGACTGCCGCAACGGCGGCGGCTGCAGCGAGGGACAGGACGGATGCGACTGCCTCGCGGGATGGACGGGCCTCGTGTGCAACGAAAGTACGCTCCGATCGCACGTCGCCGTACAATGTTGTGCAGCCGGTGATCCGTGTATATACACACACACACGCACTCGGCATTGATTTAACTGCTTAACGCGAGCTGTTAATGCGTTGGCGTTTGCATCGTTCTCGTACTGTTCACCTGTTGGTGTTCTTTGGTCGATTACCAGTGGTGAGACAATGGCATGAAAGAGGCTGTCTCTGGTGCAGGCCAATCAGTCTCAAGGACAATTGTCATCAAAGCGTATTTATTTGCATTTTTAACACAAGTGTGTGTGGATCATGCAGACTTAATGCCTTGCATTAGCTGTCTATTGGGTTTTGACCATGTTAACACCTGTATTTTTGCCCATAAAGGGTACATCCTTTATTTTATTTTTCATCAACTCGCGCCCATTGTCCCAATTGACCCACCTCGGGGAATTGAACCGGCGACCTCCGGATTTGCAAGTTCAGTGCCCTAACCACGACACCACAGCAGCAGCGGCGGCCCGTTAACGTTGTACAGACGTTGTACAGACGTTTACATTCATGTTGAGTCAGGCGCGTCTCTCTGCTCAAACAAAGCAATGGGGCGACGGTCACCTCTAAAACAGTTGCTGTTACAAAAATATAGTTTAGGACGAGTACGCCGCAACTGTACACATTTGTTTATTTGTTATTGACCAACCTGGAGCAGGCTATCTGAACACTATTCAAATATCCCTCTAAGATAACGTCATAAGATTGCAAAATTTGATCTACCGTGCGTCGTTTCTTTAAGTTAAATATATATACATATTTTAAGGGTGCAAAACACGACCGGCACACAGAAACGATATTATCATTCTTCATAGTGTTTTCATACCTTCACTATCCCCAACGCTTTCCTTGCCGAATGGTAACAATGTCTACGTGCATCTGAAGCATGTCTTTGTGTGCGCCTCTATTTATTATCGACGCATCGTATACCGTGCCCAAATCTTTTTCTTAAGACAAAAAGTCAAATCAACTTTGCCCTACTTTTCCACTGTTTTGGTGTCAGCCTGCATGAAAATGAAAACATAAAGCCTGGAAAGATGTTTCACACGTAATCCATCAGAGAAACCCAAATGTAACTCCGCGCGCGAGTGTACACACATTCATCACACATTTGGTTTCAATTGATGTTAAATATAACCACACTGCGAGCATGTTACACATTGTTACGTTAATCAACGGCGTAATAATACAACATATATAACTCTGTCGTGCAGTACATCTGGTTGATGCAAACGCTTCCAAGTAAACCATTAACCGACTTAGTTTCGTGACGCGTCTTGGCTTTGCTGCATATATGTTTTCTCCGTTGTGGTGTTTTCCGCGGCCAGCTTGTCCCGAGGGCAAGTTTGGTAGCAACTGTCAGAGTGAGTGCAGGTGTCAGAATGGAGGCTCGTGTGACCCCGTCAGCGGGAAGTGTCGCTGCCCTCCCGGAGTGTCTGGCGAGCTCTGTGAAGACGGTTAGTAGTGGCGACCATCCACCAACCCCTAGCCACTATGTCTGCCAACTTCTGCCCACTTCACAGAGAACTGCCCTGTATCAAGTGTTCATCCCAGACGCATCTCCACCCACGGCTCTCTGATGTGTCGTCGGGTTGTAACGCGTGTTGCTCGGCAGGATGTGTTGGGGTGCCACGTTGGCAAAATGTTAACTACCTCGCCTGATATGCAGGAGGTCGTGGATTCGATCCCGACCATGATGCCTGGTCGTGAGGATTTTTCTCCGGGTCCTCCGGTTTTTCCCTCCACATTTAGAATCTACATGCGTTTTTAGCATTTGGCTGCTGTAAATTTCCATGTGATAAGCCACTTCGTTGAGGTATCATTTGTATCCAGGTCACTTCTGAAAAAGAGCGATATAGCACAGTGGGACTTACCTGGTCAAACACAAATTGTTTAGTTTTAGTTTAGTTGTACGATGTACCAACGTTTTACTCCACGTGCTGGTATATTTTTCCGATGTTAGGGGAAGTGATGTAGCTCCCAAGACATTGAGCAAAACGTTAGGCATGCAACACATATAGAGAGACACACGCTAAAAGGTGGGACATTGATACACACACGTACTTAAGTGTTCTCTCCAATTTGTTTTCTGGATGTGCCACATGTTGTTTGGCACGAAGACTGACTATTCTGCCATCACGCCACCGCGTGTAGTGAAATATCGGGTATCATCTCGATGAAAACCTATGCAATTGTATCGAAGTGCTGACCATCTCTGCCAGTCTAGGGCAAGAGTTACGAGGTCTATTTATGCATTTGTTTTTATCTACGTGGACATGAACAGCTCAAGCCACTGCATGCTGACAGCTGCTATTGAGAATTTATTTTCTGATTCTGCTGAATGTTTTATATATATATAAAGTTTCCCACGTGGAATGCAAAAAGTCATTCTTATTTCATTCGGGGTGAAAATACTTTGGCCATGTCAATTTATCAGTGACTTTTTCCACATTCTACGCGGATTTTTTTTGTCAGTTTTTGTTTGTCATTCCTTCATGCCATGTCTCGACTCCCTAAGCCTCAGGCGTGAAATGGAATTCCCTTCCTTTGAACATTTTTCATCACGGCATTATCGGTTTACAACATACTTCGCAACAATGATCAATCATCTTTTAACAATGTGAATCAGTTTCGTCTGTTTTTAGAGCTCATCAGTCCAATACAGTCATCATCATCCACCGCTGCTGCTGCCATTTATGTCCTTGTTTCACTGCTGCCTGCTAGGATGGCCTCACTTTCTCTACTCTTTGAGTTGGTGATGCAAATGACAAAATCGCCACACATTCAGCTCTTTTGAGCTCGTGGGCTGAATAAGGCCGAGAGCTTTTGAACGTGCATCTTCCGTGCGTTATTAAATCTCTTAATTTTCCCACGTGCACTACTTTGGTCTGTCGCGATGGGCGTTCTCTTTCACGCACAGAGTTGAGTCACGAGCGCAGTCTGAACGTCGTGCAATAAACACGGTGTGCCTGCATCTGTCCCAACCCTGGACAGGATGTCCCAAGGGCTTCTTTGGAAAGGCGTGCAACAAGAAGTGCAACTGCGCCAACAACGGACGCTGCCACCGCATCTACGGAGCCTGTCTGTGCGACCCGGGGCTGTACGGCCGCTTCTGCCACTTGCGTGAGTTTCCTGCTTTGGGGCTCTCATTCCGGCGCAGGGCCGAAGGTCACAACGTTTGAGCGGTGCCCTCGGTCTCCAGCAACGCAAGCCTCGTGTAAAATCTCACAAACCGTGGTAGGACGATGGCAGGGGGTCCGGCAACAGAAATAATGAGAGGAGTACTTTTTTCGAATTCGGTAAAAAAAATCAATATTTCCAGAGCCGCAATGCACTGTGAATACATAGATGGTGGGGTCCTTAATAAATAGCGTCACAAAGCAGCCCTTAAAGAGCTGTATGGCGGCTCTGGAGATGCACTTTGCCAACCCCTGGACTAGACCCCTAGACTATGGTGACAGCACTCGATCTCAGTTGGGAACCGTTGTAATTCAGTCAAGTCGGTCAAGTTCAAGAAATGCCCCATTGAGCTAAGAAGCTCTCTTTCATCGGCGATGGGGCTAACACGGCAGGCACGCTACAAGGGCACGGGACGGGAGGACTTACAGGGGCTCTGTGGAACGGCTGGTACGATGATACGCAACACTTTACATGGGAGGGGAGGATTTACAGTGGCTCTGTCGAATACAAATCGGGGACATTTTTACGAACAACTCTTATAAAGATGGTCCAATGTGAGCAAACCCATAGTGTAAACTTGTGTTGCTATTTGGGACTTAACCTAATTGGAAACTGATCAAATTCATCAACGCGGTTCCCAAAACCCAGCCACAGACCGAACGCATTTGGCCCTGACAGCTACCCTCTGGCTTCCGAACTGCTAATGAAATACTTCCGAGGACAAACACATGTTGGAAAGCATTACGTAATCAATGAATGTTCTTGCTTGTCCAATGTACACTTACATTTGTTAAATTCAAGTATAATTGTGCATGTATGTTGAACTTCTTTCACACCAGACATAGCCAACCATGCTAATCAGCATTGCAACTGGTCCCATTAATCTTCTTTGGTTCTTTCGGTAAAGTCACGTCGAATGAGACTAAAATAATCAATTGATAAAATAAAATAACACAATAAAATACTCACGACGTTTCGGCCACAACACAAGCGGCCTTCATCTGATGAAGGCCGAGACTGTCTGGAGGACAGACAGTCTCGTCCCTTGACCTGATGAAGGCCGCTTGTGTTGTGGCCGAAACGTCGTGAGAATTTTATTGTGTTATTTTATTTTATCAATTTATTATTTTATTCTCATTCGACGTGACTTTACCGAAAGAACCAAAGAAGATGAATCCTTGCAGTCACGAAAGCTTTAAATCGAAATTTGGTCCCATTAACTTGGAACATCTGTACAAACAAATGATGACATTCAATTACCAGGCTAAAGCATCCCTGTAATGACCAGCATCGTGTCTCTCTATCATGAATGCTCTTGCCCACGTGTGGGTGGTGCGTGCATGTGTGTGAACCCGGAGACCTGAGTTCGATTCCTGCTCACGGCCAACACCAGTGACGATTTTCTGAACAAGTCCTGGGTCTTCCCTAGATCGACTCAGCCTCAAATGAGTACCCGGTGCGATGTGAAAATATTGCCACTAGGGAGACAAAGGCGGCCGGACGTGGTTCTGGCCACCCACCCCCTCGCGTGCTGTGCCGGCCTTCATAGGTACTCACTAACAGCACTTGCCTCAACATTCTGTTGCAGCTAGGCGAGAGATATTTGTCCTTGTGCCGCACTTCAGGGGCCATTGCAGTTATTTATGAACATTCAGCGCTAAGCCCAGTAATGGGGCTGTTAAAGTACCAGCAATATTACACACTGCCATTAGATATCGTGTCAAGTATCAGTGCAAGTATCTAACCGATAAAACGACCATTGTGTTTAGTGGCCTGTGAGCTAGTGCAATTAATTACAATGTTGCAAAGTGTTAGTCTACGATAACCATATGCTCGAGATATATATAAAAAAATGTAAAACAAGGAAGAAAAACTATGCACACGCGATGGCTTCTGTAACGCTTTCCAACATGCATTCATCTTCGAAAACATTTACTTGACGATAACTTAATGGTAACGCTCACTTCGTGCGCGTCGGTAGCAGTTGCGTCCGTAGGCAGCGATCGGACAGCCGGGCTCTGATTGCTGCTCTGTTGAAGTCTGTTAAGGCTGTACGGGGGATCGTTGTGTTTGTCTTCACAGCGTGTCCTAAGTGGGCGTACGGCCCGAGCTGCTCATCCGAGTGCCAGTGCGCCAAGGCCAGCACGCAGGAGTGCAACCCCAAGGACGGCACCTGCCGCTGCCACGCTGGCTACCAGGGCAGCCAGTGCCAGGAAGGTACGAACACGACCAGGGCCATCCGATTACTCAAGCTATCGATGACCCGCCGTCCCCTGTTACTCGACGGATAGTGCCTGTGTGTGTGTGTGTGACGCGAACGTAGGAGTAAGAAAAATTGTTGCACTTAGAAGAAGAGTGGCGAATGCAGGCAGCGATGAGAAGGAAACTGGCACTATTTGGGCACACATATGCAGGATGGACAATAACTGGAAAATGTAACGTGTGGCGTTGTTCGGGGGAAAATGTAAGGAACCAGAAAGAGAGGAAGACCTAAACGAAAATGGCTTGATGACACAAGACAAGAGGGAAGTGGAAACAAATGCCAACATGTGCAGTGGACACCTACGGGCTATCTGCCCCATGGATCGTGATGATGATGATGTGACGCTGGATGGGCGATGTTGGATGGGGTTTGGTGATGTAATCTCCATCATAAACTATGCGATGACATCATCGTGACATCTCCATCATTAACCGCGACATGCTGGGGGTAGCCCATGAAATGGGGGGGTGGGGGGGGGGAGAGCCCAGGGCCAATGCAGATATCACTAATTACAGATGTTTGGATCAAACTCAGGTTGTAAGGTTGATAGTGCTGTACGTTCACCACTTGGTTTGTAGGGGTTTCCTGCCTTAACAAATGGCCTGATACGAATTATGGTGCCAATTGGGTGGCTTAGTGGAAAATACTAATTATATTTGGAGTGAAGTAATTATTTAAAATCTTGATGACTGTCACAGATTACACCTCCTCTTATTGCATTCTATAATGAATGTTAAGTGCCTCTGCGAAGGTTGAATTAGGAACATTAAGCTTCTATCAGAGGTCAGCGCTTGAAGATTAATTAAATGAGCCGTTTATTTTAATCTAACATGGCTTATTTGAAACGGTGCTTTTAAAAAAAAAAGATATGATCGCTTTGTTTTTGTGTAGCCTAGAAACACTCATTGTGGGTTACAGTAATTTCCTCAAGGCTGGATGCTTTCAAGAGCAATTGTTAGTTTTGAAAGCGACACTCGTATTTAACCATCAACATCACCAGATCCATTGAGTGTTATTTTGTGCGTTGCCTTTTTTTGTTCAATGAACAGCTCTTATAAAAATGGGAAACCCGCATTTGTCATGGCCCAGCGGTTGGGAATAATTGGCGAAACGATTATAATTCTCATTTTGACATTTCGCAAAAAGGGGCTGCTGAGAACTGTTTTTTTCCTTGCCCCACACACATGCGCCTGATTATCTCTGCCGTTTCTTTTTAATTCTATCCAACCCCCGCTCTCTCTTTCTGTCTGGCCACATCGGCTGCGACTACGGGCGTAATCAGAACAATCGTTAACACATGTGCACGCTCGCCAGCGACATTGCTTTTCTGCATCGCTTCCGTTTGTTGTTACTGCATTCCTGTTGTTGTTGTTGTCGTTGTTATGAAGCCAATGCTCTGGTCTGCTCTCCTTCGGGCAGTGTGTGCCGACGGCTTCTACGGCACGGGCTGTCGACTCCCGTGCACGTGCGCCGACGGCGTGGCCTGCGATCACGTCAGCGGGGAGTGCAAACTGCAGTGCCAGCCCGGATTTCATGGCACCGATTGCCAACTGAGTAAGCCCCTCTCGCCCCGCGGCTCTGCTCGGGTTGCAGGGGCCCACAATGCACTTCGTCAGGAACTGCTGGTGGTGGTTTTTTTTTACGTAATGCACGAGGCTTTTGAAAACAAAACAAAATTAATCGACATTAATAAATCACAAAAACTGCACCTATTTTGCTTTGTTGACTGGTTTAACTTGTCATATTTTATGATAAATGAACTTTCGTCACCTAAGTGGATACTAATTAGGCACAATGAACAAAAAACGAGGTAAGTAAGTATTGAACAAGTCTATTCTTGCATTTGGCAATGTGTTCAGGAGCTAAATGCCAATGTCGAGACGTCTGCTAGCCACGAGAAAGCTTCAGAAGATAATTTCGAATTGCTATTCCCCTTTCTCCGTTGAAGGAGCGCATCCTACAATGGTGTGCTGAACGGTACCACAGTCGATTTTAACAATGGACAGTGCACGTGAAAGATTTTAACCATAACGTACGCTCAGAATTTCATCGGCAACGTCGTGCTTGAGACATATACTAAGTCGCGCATTGTACACCGTACGTTTATTGACGCGACACAAAGTCCACGTTTAAAAACAAAACAAAAAACGAAGGAAAATCGTACGACATTTCCGCAGAGTGCCCTGCTGGGAGATTTGGAGGCGGGTGCCAGGCGTCGTGTTCGTGTGGTGGGGCGCCCTGCGATCACGCCACTGGCCGGTGCTTCTGTCCACCTGGCAAGACCGGCGACTACTGTGAGAAAGGTGAGCGGAATTTTATACAGTGTGCTTCAAAAGGATGTTAACACTTACATAGGACGATCGTTTTTAATGTAAAACGAACGGATAATACACTGTAACATGATAACAAATGTATGCTAATAGCTTCAAAAAGTCAGAGTCTCCATTTGTTCACCATTATTGTCAACACGTTGCCTGGAATCTTCTCCAGGTGGTCTCCAGAACCCCGAGGCAGCAGCACATTCCTCGCGGTATCGTTGCAAATTTTCCGAAGTGTTAACATTTTTTTGAAACAACCCGTGTAACCGTTCGTTTTTTTGTGACGTACCGCGAGGCTGTTCGGTACGACGTCTGACGTTTCGCTCCGCGTCCCTGGAGCTTTTTCTTTCGTCCCCCTACCTTCGCCACATTCATCAGGAACTGAATTCAGCTGTGGAAACCGAATTCAGTTCCTGACAAAGGTCCCACGAACGTGGAGTGAAGCGTCGGACATCGTGCCGAACAACACGTGCTACCGGCCAAATCACATCGACGAGCTGTGCAGAGCAAGCACGAAGCTTCCACGCAGTAACAACACAGGCATCTTAATGCATTTCCAAATCACTGTGCGTCGAGCAATGTCCTTGGCTACACTGCCACCTCTGGTCTTGTAGGGATATAATCTATTGCTGTAATCATTGCTGTTGCTTCACCTCCCCTATGCGTGCTCATCTTACAAAGTGGCCCATCGAGACTACCATCCCATCAGCAGTTGTGTCTACCTCGCATCTTATTGATTTCTCAAAATCCACCAGGGTTATAAAATTTATTTATTTTTCTGGACTGTGATGAGAATTATCATTTGTCCCTGGTCCATACATAAGGCATGTGTCTATCTATCCATGCCTGCATATCTCCACACTTATTTGTACACTTTTATCATCTGTTAAATTGTCAATGTCTGAGCCATGTAACACATACAATACGGTACATCATATCTGAAATATGCATCGATTGAGAATGTCTTTCTTTACGCAAACTCGCATGTTATTCCACGTTAAGCTTTTGCATAATACCACGTACATCGGTAATACAGAGGCCACCACTACGGGTCGATCTCCCGGAACGACAGAAACAATAGGTACTCTTCTCAAACTATTCCTAGCAAGCATGGGGGGACGGTGGATGGGAGTAGCCCAAATATCGTCGAGAGGGCATCTTCAGAACTCCCTCGAGTGAAGGCTCTCTCTTGCCAGCAGTGACGTGAGCAAGCAATTGCAGGACTGCATTTTTACCATCACATACAATACGTATGCGTGCGTGTGCGCGTGTCTGTCTGTGTCTACGCCAGTGTTGCCCCCTTGACGCGTGTGTTCTGTTTCACGTTCAGAGTGTCCGGAGGGACGCTGGGGTTTGGGCTGCCAGGGCAACTGCAGCTCGTGCGAGAGTGGAGGGGCGTGCAACAGGTCGACGGGAGAGTGTGACTGCAAGGCGGGATTCATGGGCAAAGCCTGCCAGAGCAGTAAGAGAAAACCCATTGCCCCCATTCCTCATTAGGGACCTACTATCCACCGTATGCATGCAGCCATACCAGCTGTTGTAACACAAGTGAGGAGTGTTTGTGCATAGTCTGTGACAATTTATGTGCGTATTATTAGTAATACATTTTATATCAGGTCATTCACGCTATAGCATCCCACAACGCTGTACATTAATTTTACATATAAGGACCAAATCCCATATACAGCCACTAGCAAGGAAATGAAAACCCTACTAATCTTGATTTGAAGCTTTCGTGACTGCAGAAATCCGTACTCTCTTTCGGTAAAGTCACGTAGATAGAAAAATAATAAAAGATAACGACGTTTCAGTCGCAACACAAGCGTCCGTCATCAGGTGAGCTAAAAACCCTACTACCAAGCAAAATAACAACAATCATAATAATAATAATACATTTTGATTTAAAGCGTTCATAATAATAATACTCAAATTAAGAAATGGCACCACAACAAAAAGCTCAAACAATTATTCCCTGTAGCCGATACACTCACATTGCATCGCACAATCATGAGAATGATAACCCGCATGTATTGTCAAGCACGCTGGTAGTTCAACGTTAATTCAATTTAATGCTCCTCAGGAAGCGTTACATCTACATGTTTTACATATCACATTTTCATTAAACACGGACTCAAAAGTCCAACCAAAAAGCCAAACGGATCATCGACACGCAGCGCCGCTGAAGGTGTGATAACAGACACGAGCCAACGTGTTTCTTGAATTGAGCGAGGTGATTAAGAGCAGCGGGGGGTGCTGTAATGCGCGGTGTCTGTTGCTGCTGCTGCTGCTGCTGTCGCCTTAGGCTGCCCTGCCGGGCGCTTTGGTCAGGGCTGCGCGCTGCGGTGCGCGTGCGAGAATGACGCTCAGTGCGACCCCGCCACCGGGCAGTGCTCCTGCGGCCCGGGTTGGTTCGGACACAACTGCAAGAAACGTGAGTGCTGCTGCTTCCCCTCTTTAACCCTTTGCCCGCTCCGAGACGTCTGCGAGTTTTGCGGGGTGGGGGCCCCCGTTCACCGGTGAATCTCGGAACGCACAGGCGGTTCAAAAGCGTTATTTTTATTTAGAGAGGCGTAGCGCCATTGTTTTTAAAGACACCGCACTCGCCGCGGAGAACTATAGCGATGCGACCCGCGCTCTACGATAGCTGACACGATACTGTGCCACACGCCCTCCCGCATGGCCTTGTGGGAGCCTCGGTACCGATAAAGTTACGTTTATTTTTTCTTCCGGTTCCATTCCGATGACGTACACGTATGTCATCGGAACGGGAAAGGGTTAATTGTGTAGTAATAATAATGATGATTTGTTTTAAAGAGCCACCTTCCTCTATGCTGGGGAATCTCAGAGCCCTTCACACGCGATGAGCGACTTACATAACACCTCATCTCGACACACTAGAAAGGGCACCCAGAGTGGCAGCTGTCCCTGTGTGGCACATGGTGACTCAGCACCTGACTAAGACATCGGGGTGGGATGCGGAAGGGGTGATTTCTATGCATGTAATCCCAATTGAGTAACTTACGATTTGGTAAATTTGTAACATGATGGTGGCAAACAATGGGCTGCTCATTTGCGATGACATCGGGGGATCGTAAACGTTCGCAGCAAGGCAGACAGGGCATATTTCACAGTAAATACAGCTGCAGTAATAACCAGGACGGCCTGTCGGATTGGAACCACAAACCTCTGCAACCAGTCGCAAATGCGCTCCTACTGAGACATTTCAGCACCCATGCGGAGGTTAAAATTACTAAGGCCCTACCATTTTGACAATAGTAGGTTCTGTAAATGTCATGACTATAGTGTCGGGTGAGGAATGAGATGGTTCTCATTTCATCAATGTCTGGCGGATGATTGGATGATTGTGCGCCACCTGAGCAATTTGTAGTAAGAGTTGTTATTTGATTAAAATCTGAAAGCTAAGTTGATGATCATGTACACGCACAGACCGATACAAATGTTCATCACACTTAATGTAGCATTCACCCTGCCTCATAAAATATTGAAAATAGGCTAATGTTTCGCTTATACACCCTTTGTAAGCACTATGCAATACAATGTTGGTTTTATAAAGCGTTTTAATCCTCACGTATTTCAAGAACTGCCCGCGATGTATACGCCACAAGACATGATTACATATTTCTGTTGTATTGCACCACTAATGATAGCTTGTGAAATGTTATTCTGTCTGTAATTATTGATTTGTACTTCACCAGATGAGAGGTCTCCATTGCGGATGACAATTTCTGTTTTGTTTTAGAATAGAGGCCTGAGTGGACACAATGAACATGGAAAACCAGAGGGGAAAAGGCTCATTATTGAAGTGCCAAATAACAAGTTCAGTCCAATGATGAGCACACACACAATAACAATCATAAAGACTGACCTTTGAAGTGGATGTCAAGCTTCAGAGCACCACCGTGGGTTTAAAACAACGCAGATATTAATACTACAGACCGTTCAGTGTGCAGTTCCAAGCAATGGAACTGTAACGTGCTCATCAGATTGGTCTAACCAGAATCTGCAGCTTCTGCTTCACCGACCTGAATCTCGGCTCTCGTGAAACAATTCGGAGGGAGTGGTGGTGCAGTGGTTAGTGTACTGTGAAACGAACCAAGCAACCCGAGTTGTAATTCTGGTCACGGCTAATATCAGTGGAGAGGTGATGTCTAAACTGAGTCTGGCCCCGTCAACCTCCACCTGCGGTCGAACCATCAATGATAATAACAATAATACATCACGGAGTGGCATCCAAGGAAAGGAACACAAATGAGGGGACGTCTGTGGAGAAGATGGAGCGTTGAAATCAGTTTGTGTGCAGGTGCTAGGTGGATCATTACATCGCAGGGTCGTCAGAGGTGGCAGTGTTGGGGGGATGCCCTCATTCAGCAGTGGATAGACCAAGGGATATACATTATTCATTTGTCGACGAATACCCCCCCAAAAATATTGCTTTTTAATTTGGACCAATTAAACAATTTAGGTATTAAAAAAATCGTAATTTATTATTGTGTTTTCTATCTATCTGGATTTCGGGTGTAAAGCGTGGGTACTTCTTCCAAGAGGTCTGGCCGGCATGGAAGAGTGATCCAAAATTCACTATCTAGAGCTCCCCCGAGTAAAAAGGCCCTTCCTTTCGCCAGCAGTGGCATGAGCGAGAAATGACTGGGTGCGTTTTTCTGTTTCAGCGTGCCACGCTGGGCGCTGGGGACGAAACTGCGAGCGGCTGTGCGAGTGTAACAGCGTGGTGGGCAGCTGCGAGCCGGTGACGGGGAAGTGCGTGTGTGAGGCTGGGTTCACTGGACCTCGCTGTGAACAGAGTAAGCACCGCTTCCCACTTGCCCCGTCCTCGTAAGGTCTGAGCAATTGTTTCAAACAGACACGCTTCACAATTCATTGGGAGTACGCCTGTTGCAAGGTCCGACGTAAAACAACAACAAAAAATGTCCTCTTGTGCAAATGAGCGGTGGGAAACTTTGGCCGCTTATCTCACCTGAGCCTAGAAATGTATTAATATGAGTCGGACATTATAATGATTCGTTAATGAATGCAACCTTGAGCGGTGGAGCAGCAATTAGCTCACTGCACTACTAACCCAGCGACCTGACAGTTGAACCGGTCATAGGCCTCCTCTAGGTTGACTCAAGTCAGGGTTGACTCAACCTAGCGGAGGCCAATGACCGGTTCAGCGCTTTGGTGCAGTATGCAAGCAGCATCCTGAGACAAAGGTGGCCAAACGTAGCAGTGGCCACCGGCTTCCGTCCGTGTGCCACGCCGGCCTTGACGGGCTCTGGCTCGCTAACATGGCTCTGCGCCCCGACACTCTGCTCACGCCCACGCGGGGCCTTCGTTTGTGCGTGCGTGCAGAGTGCACCGCCGGAACGTTCGGGCCAAGCTGCAGGAGTCGGTGCCAGTGCGAGCACGGCGCGGCGTGTGACCACGTGAGCGGCGCGTGCACCTGCGCCGCCGGCTGGACCGGGACCTACTGCGAACGCCGTAAGGGGTCACCGTCACACGCGCCAACCCCAATCCCGGTCTTCCTCCTCCTCCTCGCGGTAGCAGCAGCGGCGGCGGCAGTGATTCTTGGCTAACCGTCGAACAAAGACGGTCACTCCAGTCGCTCACAGAAAGTCACTCACCTCCCTGTTACTCTTCGATCGCGACTGCCGTGGTTTCTGGTCCTCCTCGTCAAGGAGCATAAACCGTCACGTGAACTCCGATCATCGTCTCAACAGCAGCGGTGGATTTTGGCTAGCCAATGAACAAAGACGGTTACCCACGTCGTGTGCTCTCAGATGTGCTTCTGCTGCCGTCTGGAACGTGCTCTTCCTTCCAATATTAGGAAGCCACTGGAGCTATGCACTGTTAAATCATCTAGATTGACAAACTCATTTATTTAGAACTGCTTTTTGTGTTTAGTTTGTTTTTGCCATTCCCACGCACCTCGAATAAGCACGGTTGCCTAATCTGCTATGTGGGGAGAAAACATATAGCAATCTTATATTTTCACAGTTTAAATCCAGCGGCCGCCCTGGTTAATACCATGGATATTATTAATCACAATACGAGGCATCTGCTTCATGACGGGTATGATAATTTGTAAGAGTAATGGTCCTAATTTGAAAACGTACCTATTACTCCACTGGAATATATATAGTAATCGTCACCCCCAAATGTAAACACTTGGCAAGACCCTCCTGAAGAAGTGTCATGAGCCTCAGTTTTGCTTCCTTGAGAAAACAAGCATAATAATTATAATAACAACGGCCCCAATGGTTTGAATATAAAAGAAATGGGGCATTTTTTTCTAATGCACAACAGCATGCAGAGGTGCCCAATTTCGCACTGCCAAATGAACGTTCTAAAATGTAACCATATGTGGCACTTATTATTACGACATGCACAATTGAATTCCACAGCATGCACAGGGAGCAATTTCCTTTACTTTAACATTTGAAATTCACAATTTAGTGCCACTAAACGCTTGACATTTGCAATGCTGTTGGATAAGCATGTGAACATGAATTGTATTTGTAAAAATAAGTCACTGAAATATGCTAATAAGGTGGTGCTTTTCAATGGACAATCGCATAATACGTTTTTTTTTGGTGCGGGTGGATTAAAAATAATAATTCGATGAAGTGATCTCGGAAGCAGTTCCGTGACATCGTCTTCAGCGGACCATTCTCTTAAACGCGGGTGATGCACTGTTTTTTGAGAGTCCAGAATGCCTTCTTTGTTTTATGACACGATGGCAATCACGCAACTGGAATAAAATTAATAAATATATTAATTTAAAATAACACATATTTTGTTTTACTTCCCCAAGAGAAGGAAAGGATGCATCCGTCTACGGCACTGCAGAAACTTGTTTTTGAGCACAAAACTGTGCACGCGGCAACTCGCACAGCAGCTCAGCGCTGCGCTTGAACGTGTTCATGTTTGAACGTATTTTTTGCGCAGCACATAGCCAACCGTGCTCACCGGAGGTGCGGGGGTAAGGACAACAACAATACATTTTAACGACTTGCCCTTGTTATTGTGTCTCTCCAACAGCCTGTCCCGACGGCTTCTTTGGGATGGAGTGCAAGGAGCCATGCGGCTGCCGAAACGGCGCTCACTGTAACCACATCACGGGCCTGTGCAGTTGTGCTCCAGGCTGGGTGGGCCCCAAGTGCAGTCAGCGTGAGTGTCGCAACCATCCACGTGCATTTGAAGTGAACTAATTCTAAACTAAAACTTTAAAATAAACTATGTTTATTTTTACCAGGGTAAGGCCCACTGAGCTGCCACATAGCTCCTTTTTCAGAAGTGACCTGGCTATTACAAATTATAGTGCAATGAAGTGGCTTATTGTCACGTGGATATTTATATCAGCCGAATACTCTGAACGCACGTTTATAAGTGTGGAGGGAAAAACCGGAGAAGCCGGGGAAAAATTCACACGACCACGGGGAGAACACGCAAACTCCAAATATACAGCAGCAGGCGTCAGCGTCGGGATCAAACCCACAAACTCCTGTGTACCAGGCGAGGTACTTAACATCTTGCCACCGTGGCACTGGTGGGGGAGAGGAGGTGGCCAGGTGGCTCAGAGGTCACAATGCTGAGCTGGCTTTGCTAAGATCGGGGGTTCGAATCGAGGCCAGCTGCCCCGTGGTTACGCTGGGGTTGTCAGGTGCAGCAAGGTCAGTCTCAGACTGGACACATTGTGTGCACCTGTATTCCACCCAAGTACACACACACACACACAAAAACAACACCATCACATTCAATTTAGTTCTGGGTCGTTTTCATACAGCGGCTGCACATATGTAACTGTAGTTGGATGGCATATGTTGTGAGTCGCTTATTTAAACTGAAAATTATGCAGTGTTCTTCATTTCTTTTTTTTAATTAAACTTTTGTCCTGATTGTGAGTGATTTTACTTTTTGGCAGGAAATATATCTTTTTTGGTTTTAATCTATCCTGTATATTTTATAAATAACGTGTATTGTAATGAATTATGCAGATTTAAATAATAATGAATTGGAAACCTGGTTTTCGAGAGAAAGTATTTCGTGTAATTTCCAACTGGGAATCATGAATTTTGTTGGCGATTCTGAATGAGTAGATTGTAGCCACTAAGACAGTGTACTGAGCCATATTGCTCACTGAGGTTGTATACATGTGTAAATGTTGAAATTCTTTCGCACCATACCTCGTTAACCGTGCTAGTTGGAGGTGCCAGGGAAGAACAACCAACAAAACACAAAAGCTATTCTAAAGAAATTAGTTTTCAATTTAGATTTAAAAGTCCATACCTCCAGTGGCTTTACAATATCGGAAGGAAGAGCTTTCCAGACGGCCGCAGAAGTGTATCTGAAGGCCATACTGAAGCATCACCTCAGAGAGCATGGGTTAAAATCCTGGATTGATTATGTGGTTAAAATATATTTTTGTTCAAATATCAAACATATGTTGATCTCTGAGCAGACACAAACAACCTAACTTGATTTGACAGCTGTGGGTTACTCTGTAGACAGCCTTTCGGTGAACCCCTGCGGGGTTTTATTCAAAGGCTGTTCCTTGGCAGTTGAGTTGTTTTGTGGTTGTGGATGATGAAACAAACAACTTTCTGGCCAGTATACAATACTGTACATATGTTGAACTTCTTTCGCATCTAAATCGAAAAATAATTTCTTTAGAACTGCTCTTTGTATCTATGGGGCCTTTTTTTGCCAGTATCAAATTGTGAGAAATAAGAATAGGATTTACTCTTTCTTTGCATGTGTTGCCCACAGGTGTGTGTGGTTCATGCAGACTTGATTCCATGCAAAATGTATCTATTTGGTGTTTAAACATCTTAACACCTGTTTTATTGCCAGAAAGGGTAAAACCTCTTCTTATTATTCGTACAGTTTTTTTGTGTTCATTTTCTTGTCATTCCCCCGCACCTCCGATGAGCACGGTTGCCTATGTACGGTGCGAAAGAAGCTCAACATACGTACATACGTAGCCAGCCGTGCCAATCGGAGGTACTGGTGGTGCAGCGGGCACACACCGATGGTTCACGGTCGTGCGCTTGACGCGCGTTCGTTTTTTTTCTCCCCTCCACCGCCACAGCTTGCCAAGGGCAGACGCACGGCGAGAACTGCAGCCAGGCGTGCGACTGTCACAACGGCGCGACGTGCGAGCACGTGACGGGCCTGTGCCTCTGCACCCCGGGGTGGACGGGGGCGTCGTGCCAACGCAGTGAGTGAATCGACGCTCCGTGCGTGGGAGCCACAGACCCTCCGCGGACCCTTCACGAACCCATCACGAACCCTTAACGAATCCTCGCCGCACTCGATTGATTATCCCGGCAAGAATGCCGTGTCCGCGGTTAGGCGATCCCCGTGTGCGTCCGTGGCGCCCCCTGCGTGCGCGCACGTGCGTCAAAGGAATCCTCGAACATGACGCGAGTTAGAGATGGTCGGTTGCCTCGGGCGTGGCATACGGCACTGAGCTGGCCGCGTTGACGTTCTCGATTTGTGTTTGGCGAACGTTCATCCCCCAGAGCATCTGGGCACTGGATGGTTCCTCTCTTCATCTACTTTCGTTCCTGACTCTGACCAACAAGCAGAAGCGAGTCACAGGAATTCTTTTCCTCCATTTTTTTTCCCTTGGGGTTGGTTTACTTTTCTATGAATCTGTTGGCCTACCAGTGACATGATTAATTTCAAGAGCAGCTGCCCGAAATACCACAGTATATGTTTCCTCTTTAGGTGGCAGTGTTACTGAGGAACGGTATAGAGTTATTTGTCATTTTCCAATGCTTTTCACGTGTTACATCGTCCAATGTTCAATGACAAAGTTTTAGTAATGCAATATTCCAATAGGACTGTAATAGAATAAAAGACAATTTGCTTTTATATTACACTTCATGCAGAGCTTCTCAGGCTGCTTTACAATAAAATCTCTGCTAGGAATAAAAACCCATTTTCCAATCATTCCTTGGCGGCCACTCTTATCATCGGTCTCGACCATCGGCCATTATCCGGTGTCGTGGTGGCGAGATGTTACCTCTCTCTTCCGGTATGCAGGAGGTCGTGGGTTCGATCACGACCCTGAGGCCTGCTGTATATTTGGAGTTTGCATAGTCTCTCTCCCTGTGGTCGTGTGGATTTTTCCCCACATTCAGAATCAACACGCGTTTAGAGTATTTGGCTGCGATAAAACTCCACGTGACAAGCCACTTCATTCGGGCTATCATTTGTGGCCAGGTCGCTTCTCAAAAAGAGCCATGCAGCTCAGTGAACCTTACCTGCTAAAATAACAAAACATGTGTTGAATAGTTTCTAAGTGACTCATCGTGCCCAATTTGTCGTGCCCGAGCCTCGCTTTCTTTCCCCCCGCCCCCCCCCCCCGACGTCTGGCTGCACGACGGCTCTCCAGTCAGCTGACGTCGCTCCGTTTGCACCCGCAGAGTGTGATGCCGGATTCTACGGAGCTGGCTGTGCACAGCATTGTATCTGCCGGAACGGCGCCACCTGCAGCCACGTGACGGGAGACTGCTCCTGTCCCGACGGGTGGACGGGCGTCGCCTGTGAAACTGGTGCGTCGCCGCACCGTGCCCCCCCCCCCCCCCCACACAAGTGAAGTGTGCGTCATACACCCTCCTCCACCCAACACAGCCGATCAATAAAGTTGTCACGTGAACAAACGCGCCGTTTTATTACTGCTGCATTAGCACCACCAACTGGTGTGTTGTTGGAGAGCAATCCACGACATTTGAGAATATGTGGTCCGACGTTTCGCTGGTAGTTAAAACCAGCAGGCATTTGTAAGATAACGACAAACATTTTATTTACCTGATATGATCCCAAAAAAAATGCGAATCATAGTATTGGTCATGAAAGGCTGCACCGAGTTAAACTCTTTCAATATACTTGGCCAACATAGAAAAGTAGGACAAAATATCCTCTGCAAGGGCCCTCTAAGACCCCCTCGAATAGATATCCTTCCTCCAGAAAGAAACATGCAATGCATTCCGCATTGGCCAAACACAGTCAATATGACTTTCTTAGTTAAATAAGTGTTTCATTGGTAAGCAAATTATTGGGGACCTTGAGCCACCAGTTGACATGATCCAGCTTCTGCATAGGATAACCACAGTTTTAACCACAATTTAAACACCCACAATCCTTACTTATTTTACTGACCACAGAGGAATGAGGGGATGATACAAAATCAACAATAATCCTTACTGAGCGTGTAAGACTGAACATGCAACTGGTCAGATATCTTGAGAAGGAACCTCCTGAATGGTGACAACCAAATCACTCCGATTGCTAAGCAGCATTTAACTGGGTTAGTACTTGGATGGGAGGCGTCCTGGGCAAACTCAGCTTGATATTAAGTTGTTGCTCCGCAGACCGGAAGATTGTCACCAGTTTGATGATGGCATTAGTCACGATTTATCACTTAACAGTGTGTGCCACGTGAAGGCTGCCATCTTCCACTCTGAGCTTGAGATGCTAAGTGCCAACGATACGGTGATACAGTAAAGAATCCTTACATTTATTGAATTCTGCTTTGGGTCTTATCCCTCTAGATATGCGTGGGTTTTATCCGTGTTTTATAGTTTCCGCCCACATGAAGCCAAAACATGAATTAATGCAACTCGCCCAATATCTTAAATGCAGGGCCTTCCTGAAACAAAAAGTATTGAGACTCTGTGAGACTCTTCTGGATCAATAGTTGTATGAAGAGAATACCTTTGTCTTATTATTTTTTTATGTAATCGTGTAATTCCATTGCAGAGTGCACAGGTGGAAAGTTTGGTGCTGGCTGTCAGCAATCCTGCAGCTGTCAGAATGGAGGCACGTGCGAGGCTAGGACAGGGAGGTGCACGTGCAAGGCAGGCTGGACTGGAGACACGTGCGAGTCAAGTACGTGTCTCTCTCTCCCTCTCTCTCGTTGCATTCATCCCATTCTGTTTATCGCACGGCGAGCAGCTGAACCACGTGAACTATTCAGCATTTGCTCAAACAGGTTTGATTGTTACGGTGAGATCCCAAGGTCAAAAACCAGTCCAGAATGTATTTGTTTGAACAAATGACACTGGATAATGTTGGTCTGGAAAGCCAATAGGGCAGACAAACGAAACAATATCATCCACAAGAGGGCTTTTTGGGTTAGATCGCATAAATATATAGATACATAGGTCGCGTACATATGTAGATATATAGATATATGTATCCGATCTAAGCCAGAACAACTGTATTGTGGATGATATTGGTCGCGAAAGCCTACATGTTAACGTAAACAATACATATACTCACATCTCATGGTTGGTAAAACACTGAGAGCTACATTGTGCAGGCTTGCAAGGACTACAGTTTGAGTCATGCCGGTGTAAGCAATTTGTAGCGTGCATTTACTGAAAGTTGTGCATTTGTGTGCAATTGCAATGCAAGGCGTTATTTAATTTGATTAACAATACTTTGGAATTAAAGTATATGTACATAGACCCAAAAGTATATAGACCCAAATGTTTATTCCGTTAACACCTCATACGTAAAATGCGTCAAATGCCTTATTTGATTCGTATATTAGCAATATAATAGTTTGTATGTAGCATTTACAATCGATGTACAATAGAGTGCATTATTTTGACTTTGATTCAATTAAGCAATTTATCTTGTACAACGTATATAGAGCCATTATTCTTTTATTTTGTCAAGTTGAAGTAAAACATATATCACGGCTTATTTTTTTAATATATATTTTTAGTAGATGAACGCCACTTGGCACTCAAAAACGTATCTTACTACGTCTTTTGATCCACGTGGAAAACTTACCTCACAAATACAAAGGTTATACATGCGGTTTTCATATGTAGGCTATTACAACGGAACACAATGTCCTGTTGCTGCAAGCGACCCTACCAGGTTTTTAATGGCATATGACATCAATTGGTTATTTAAAAAATACACCCCACACCATTGCCAGGCAATAACCGTGGTCTGATTCCATGAACCTACACAGAAACCGCATCGACCACTGACAACCAATATACCCGGCCCCACACGCTGGCATTTGTGCAGCCCCTATGCCAAGGTTTCTTTCCCCGTGAACTTGATGCCCCCTCCCATGCTGAGGACTCGATCTGCCAGACTGATCTTTAGTCTCATCCACACTGTTCAACCATCGCACTGCAGACGGTAAACACGGGCAAAATGCAAAGATCCCCCATCTAGCCTTAACAGACTGTTAGCGAGCACCTATGAAGGCCGTCACGGCACACGAGGGGGTGGTTGACCAGCACCACGGCCGGCCACCTTTGTCTCTCCAGTGGCGATGTTAACACTGCACGAGGTGCTCAATTGAGGCTGAGTTAACCTAGGGGAGGCTCATGACCGGTTCAGATAATCGTGACTGGTATTGGCCTTGAGCGGGAATCGAACTCGAGTGGCCGGGTTCGTAGCGCAGCGCACCAACCGCTACACCACCGCTCATCATCACAACACACTTGCTCAACAACAACAACAACAACCGCCATTCGCCACTAAGTGGCGGTGATCGTCGCCACCGCGCTTGTGCCAGGCTAGGTGCACGTTAAGGCCACGTGAAGTGTCGAACGCCCGCTGGCAGGAGGTCACGAGGCAGACCCAGGTGCCATGGGTCGACTGACTGAGATGACTGGCCGATGCACCACCACCTGTGCCCCCTTCTGTGCCAACTTGCTTTAGCACTCGGCGCTCCGCTCGTTGCTGTGAGCGTCGCTCACACACTCGCTCACCACACTGCAGGTCACATCACTTCTCATTCTGCACCTTCCCTCTCAACATTTTGATTCCCAAATTGTTATGACAACCCCACTCAATTCAGGAAACGTATAAACTCTCATCTATTGCAACTTCAAGAGTGCTGTTTGTTACTTTCCGCTTGGGATATTGGACCTTCTGCTCCGAAACCGGCGAACCGAGTTAAATTCCCGCTCACGGCCAACGCCAGTGGCGATTATCTGAACTGGTTATGGGCCTCTCCGAGGTCGACTCAGCCTCAAATGAGTACCTGGTGTGCTTGTGTAAACATCGCCACTGGGGAGACAAAGGCGGCCGGGCGTGGTGTTGGCCACCCCACCCCCTCGTGTGCCACAGCGCCGGCGTTCACGGATGCTACTCGCTAACAGCACTTGCCTCAACAGTCTGCTACAGGCGATTCACGGGGGAACTTTTTCTTTGTCAATGTAAGCAGGCTCACGGTCAACACACACACACACAGAGGCTCAAGAGGATAGCGCAGTCCACCGACAGTCCTGGGCCAGGGTCCCCCCTCGTATAACCTCGCTCTTTCTCTCCCCCATGAGCCCACGAGAAGCGCGAGCGGAGGCCGTGAGCCGGCGGGACCGTGATGCTTGTTCACCGGTGGTGAGCGAGAGAGAGCGAGAGAGAGCGAGAGAGAGTGAGAGAGAGCGAGAGAGAGCGAGCTCACGTTCCCACCGGCCGAGCGGGACCGGGATCGCCCGTCCCTGCCGCCCGTTGACCGGTGGTGGCTTGGCCCGTCGCGCTGTCTTTTTATTTTGTGCAGCGTGCCCGGCCGGGTTTTTTGGCGGGCGGTGCGGGGAGAGGTGCGAGTGCACGCACGGCGACTCGTGCCACCACGCGACGGGCGCCTGCCACTGTCACGCCGGGTGGCGCGGCCGCCACTGCGACAAGCGTGAGTCCACTCCGCAGCGCACACGCACACGCGCGCACCCACGCACACACACACGCACCCACACACGCACACGCACACGCGCGCACCCACGCACACACACGCGCGCACCCACGCACGCACACGCACACGCGCGCACCCACACACGTACATGCACACGCGCGCACCCAAGCACATGCGCACACACACACAGACAAGGGCCTCCCCACCCCCCCCCACCACCCGTATAGCCTTAAGAGTGCGTTGGGGCAAGTGCTGTCAGCGAGCAGCACCTATGAAGGCCGGAATGGCACACTAGGGGATGGGATGGCCTTCACCACGCCCGGCCACCTTTGTCTCACTAGAGAATGAGTACCTGGTGCGATGTTTACACACCGCACCAGGTACTCTTTCGAGGCTGAGTCACACACTCACACACACATTCGCGAACACATTTCCGTTCTCTTTGAATTGTTTTGCACACTAATTTCCCCCCCCCCCCCCAAATGTGTTTTTGTTACAAAAGAAAGTTATCCATCCAAGTGATCGACCTGGACCATGCTAAGTCACGGTGCTCGCCTTACACACTGGAAACTTGGTGATCACACAGGATTGCAAACTGAGTGATCACACAGGATTGCAAACTGAGTGATCACACAGCGTTGCTGGCACCTGCCTTAATTAGCCTGATTACAGTAACCCACTCATCATCAACACCGTACACACTGAGTACTACATGTAACATTCACCCCACCACCCCCAGCGATTCCATAAATTATCTTCACTTGGGATTGCAATTCTATTTCTGCTGTTTAATTGTTTGCGTCTCATACGTATCGTTCATTATTTGTATAATTTGCAAAGTTTTGATTCATTACAATCGCCTGAATGTAGCATTAGCATATAATTCGCATGTAATTTTGAATAAAAAAAAAACATTCTCGAACGTTCAATTCACTCAACACAATTCATAGCATGCATCGCGTGTGTAATAATCAATTTCAATCATTACCGCCGACTGAATACGACTGTTCGCGGCTGTTCTGCATCGCTTCTACCAGTGTGTTGTTGGGCTGTAACGCGCCTTGTTCGGCACGACTATGCCAGCACGCTTCCTGCCACGTGCTGCAAGCTTCTAGAGTTGCCGAACAACTATTGCTGAAGAACTAAAGAATCTAAACTCAACTGAACTATTTTTACTTTATTTTACCAGGTAAGGCCCACTGAGCTACATAGCCCCTTTCCAGAAGCGACCCGGCACTCGCAAACGGTAGCTGAACGAAATGGCTCATCATGCGGAAATTTATAGCAGCCAAATTACTCCAAACGCATCCCCCCGCAGGTGGAGCGGAACGTCGGACATCGTGCCGATGAGCGCGCGTTACTGCCCGAGAACACATCTCAGAGCCGAACACACAGAGTGTTCACTTCGCGGCCAGCGATTGTGAACGCGAGGGACGCTCCCATACTACTTCTTCAATCTTCTTGGCTCCCCTCCCCCATAAATGTTCCTCCTCCTCCCCCCCCCCGCCAGCCCCCTCCCTCTCTTCGAAATCTACTTTGCATCCTGGGTTCTTGAATAACGACGCAGACAAAAACCCACACAGACGCTCAAGCGACGTTTGTCCCCCCGCAGCCTGCCTGCCGGGCCATTACGGCGAGGGCTGCACCCGGAGGTGCTCGTGCGCGTCCGGCGTGCCCTGCGATCACGTGACGGGGAACTGTGGCTGCCCCCCGGGATTCACCGGCAATGGATGTGACCAGAGTGAGTCTCCAGGGAACAACGCTGTCCCAGCGCACAACACCCTGCGGGGTGACGAATCATATTGATCTGTATTCATCATACATCAGGCTGCCATCGTCGTGGCTTTTACTCCATGTCGACCGTGTGTTGACTCGATACTAAACGATGGTGCTTGCAGCAAATACTTGCAGACCAGTCTATCTCCAGTAACATAGTATGATGAATTGTGTACGTACGTGCGTTGAACTTCTTTCGCACCGTATGGAGCCAACTGTGCTAATCGGAGGTTTCGATTATATTTAATACAAGGGCTGAATGCACCCCCCCCCCCTCCCCCAACTCCAAGTCTCCAGTGGCCACCATCATTAACCACCGTCTCTCCCTGCGTCCTAACACGCACGGACCGCGTCCCCGTTGTGCGTCTCTGCGCAGCTTGCCCAGCTGGAACGTTCGGTCAGAACTGCAACTCCGTGTGCCAGTGCTCAGCAGACAATCAACAATGCCACCCCGTCACGGGGAGGTGCAACTGCCTCGCTGGCTTCCACGGACCGCACTGTGACAGCAGTGAGTGAAGAACACAACTACACTTCCTACCAACTTCGGGGGTCTCTTAAAAATGTTAATCTGAAGACAATGTGCACTATCCGCCCAGCAGTATATATGGGTTCACCACAGTTAGTGGATCAGCAGTTTGAATGGAGTAGGGTAAAGTGTGGATAAGTCCACCTCTTCCATAATCACTATCCAGCATGAAAGTATAAGCGTAACAACCCCCCTAGATGGGCTCTCTAGAGCTCCCACTCGTGTATGTAAGTTTAACTTCTTTCGCACCATACGTAGCCAACCGTGCTGACTGGAGGTGCGGATGAAGGACAACAAACTACTCAACACAAAAAGCAGTTCTAAAGAAACGTTCTTTCAATCTAGAATTTGAAAGATTTGGGTTTCAACCTCCAGTGACTTCCTAATATCGGAAGAAAGAGCATTCCAGACGGCCGCAGAAGCGCATCTGAAAGCGGAGGCCCTTCTGGCAGCAGTGGCATTAGCAAGCAATCGCAGCGGTAAACCTTTACCACCTACTCTTTGGGTCTTTCGGTAAAGGCACGTAGATAGAAAAATAAAAAAAATAAAAAATCACGACGTTTCGATCGCAACACGAGCAATCGTCTTCAGGTTAAAAAAATACAGCAGGCAGAATGCCGAGGCAGGAGGAAATATAGCGAGAGAGCTACTGCAGCCAAAGGTTATATAGGTTTGAGATGGGTACAACCCAAGGGTAAGTGGGCGGGGCTAGAGATAGAATTTGCAGGTAAATGTAAGATCGCAGAGCTAGGTATACCTCGGCTGTTGTGTTGCTAGAGATTAGCATGTCAATCTGTTAATGTAACCCTTTACCACCTAGCCAGGTCATAACCCGTTTATTCTGACGCTGTGACCGCGACATTCGTTGGTTGGGCCCTGCGGGGGGGTTCTCTATCTTACCGTGACGATCCTCAATCTGCTGGAAACGTCGGGCCGCTTCGCTTGCCGAGCCGCCGTTGCGTTCGTTCTGCTCGCCGCCCCGCAGAGTGCCCCGAGGGCAGCTACGGCTCCGACTGCGAGCGGAAGTGCAAGTGCCAGAACGGGGGACGCTGCGACACAGCTACGGGCACGTGCGAATGCCCCGCCGGATTCCTCGGAGCCGACTGCGGCCAGGGTACGTTGGACCCCCCCCCCCCCCCCCCCCCCCCCCGCCTACACATGGCCTCGCCAGACCGCGCTGGGACATCGACAACATTAAATATGATGGGATTGGAGGGGAGGGGGGTATTCATTGTAAAGTCTTAATTCAGAGTCCATGTGATATCCTGCTCAATGGGTATTGAAGCGTTGGCGCTGACCTCAGATTCGCACGGTTGGCTACGTACGGTGCGAAAGAATGTCAGCGTATATACATGCATGCAACATCTCATGTTTACAGCCAGCCCTGAATCAGCGGTGGACATTCCATATATTCCTACGGCAGGGGTGAGTTTATCCATTGGAATACCACGGTTGACTTCTCCGCAAAGTGGTACTAATTTTATCGACCCTTCGGGTGATGAGGCCCTGAGTCAACCCCCAGCCAGGATTTTAACTCACAGCCTTGGGAGCCGATCGCTCTCCTGCTGCTGAGTCACTCCGTGATGTGATGGGGCTTAATACACGCACGAGCATTTCTGTAAGTACACGCACGATCAAATATGGGTTCACCCATTGAATGTTCATACGTTATAGGTTGTTCTATGAACGTCAAACAACAAGGGGAAAGTAGGCCAATATTCAATCTTATTTACTCTTTACTCCTAACTTTTTATTTGACTAGGTAAGGCCCACTGAGCTATGAAGCTCTTTTTCAGAAGCAATCTGGCAACAGATGATAGCTCAAAAAAGTGGCTTATCAAGTGGGAATTTATAGCAGCCAAATACCATAAACGTATGTTTATAAACATGGAGGGAAAAACCAGAGGACCTGGAGAAAAATCCCACGCCGCCACGGGGAGAAAGAGACATGCAAACTCAAAATATACAGCCGGCGTCAGGGTCGGGATCGAACCCACAACCTCCTGTATACCAGGCGAGGGGGTCAACATCTTTCCACCGAAGCCCCCCTAATCGAGGCCCATGTGCCAGCGGTGGCTGGATCAATACATTGCTAGGCTGCCCCTTTACTTTTACCTTGCCCCAACAGTCTGTTAAGGCCATACTTTGGTGCGGGGGGATCTATGTCTTTGTTTTGTGCGTCTGGGCGAGCAGCCTGTCCTGCAGGCCACTATGGCAAGGAGTGTGCATCCCTCTGCTCCTGTGGGGAGCGGGGCTCGTGTGACCCCGTGAGTGGACGGTGCCAGTGCCAGCCTGGGCGCACAGGGGCCAAGTGCCAACAAGGTGAGCAACCTGCATGGGATTTTTACTTTGCAATCATCGCCCCCCTCCCTTCCACTCCCCCCACCCAAGGCTGGCAGACCAATACCCACTTGCAGGTCAGGCACTGGGTGTCACATTGTCCTGCACAGGGGACAGCTGCCACTTGGGATGCCCGTATAGACTTGCTGACCTGCCCATTACTGGACAACTGTGAAGAAGAGTTCCAAAGCTCTTCGGATTCCTCCAGTCTAAATAAATATTCTGATTCTAAAATGCTTGAGATTAGATGCAATGCGAAGGAAGTCACTTATCCACAGTATAAAGTGTTCTGAGTTGCCCTGGTGGACAGGGAGCTATTAAAAAAAAATGTTATCAGTTATCGCAGTAATTTAAGATGAAATGGCCATTACTCACATATTACAGAACTTAGAAACATAGCCCACAATTCGCAGGCCAGTGATGCTGCACAGGATTAGCTGCCTTGATCCAGGAGTGGGTAGACCATGGGCTGATGATGATGATGATCATGTTAAATGAATAAAAGAATGCAACGCAGAGTGTCTCTGCTAAACTGAAAAATATGTGGAACATTCAGTTTCTCGTGACAAAAGATAATCCGAGCGAAGTTATATAAACGCCGCGCCACGTGGCTGCATTACGATGATGTGGTGTCCAGATGTTCAGAGATGGGTCGGTATCTTTACATTTTCTTCATTAGCAAATTGCCAAAAGTCGACCCGTCCCGTCTCTCTCTGGCCCGTTATCGTGACGAGAGAACACCCTGGCAAAAAAATAAATAAAAACATTGGGGTGGACTAATGGAGGTTATTCTGCGTTGTGTTCCTGCCCTCTTCTGCATCACCCACCTAAGGGGACAAATATTTTGGCCACCGCATCGCGCGCTTTCGGATGCGCTTCTGCGGCCGTCTGGAACACTCTTCCTTCCGATATTAGGAAGCTACTGGAGCTGTGCACTTTCAAATCAACTAATTTTTTTCATAACTGCTTTTTTGTGTTTAGTTTGTGGTCCTTCCCCCCCCCCACACCTCCGATTAGCACGGCTGGCTACGTGCGGTGTGAAAGAAGTTCAACGTACATACATGCGGCTGGTTGAGAATGACCGAACAGCTTCACGAGATGGAGCACTAGTGGGTGGTGCCGCGCCGGCAACGCTTGTGTAGAAAGTGCTCCACTAGGTAGCGTTCGTATCTCTGCAACGGTGACCGAGAGACACCGGCATGAGCCCACACGCGCCACAAAACGTCGCCGGTTGTCAACAAATGTGATGAGTGAAAATCATTACTGCTCGTGACTAGCCACAAACAAAACGGCCCTCCAACTCTATTCACTCCATCCACTGAAACATTGCGCTGTACAAAAAAAATGTGACTGCAAAACAGGGCTTCCCATAAGTAAACACCGAACTGTGAATTATAAGAGCCACCAAAAATAAATATCCTGCGTCGGTGACAGGCATTCGTGTGCTCGTGTGCGCGCGTGCACACGTGTATTTGCGTGTCTGTGTGTACGTGAGGCCAATATACCCTCTTTTAGTGGGTATTGCCTGCATGCTAATACATATCTATATACAGTACGCACGTATGTATGTATGTGCGCATTCAAGTATGCATTCTTTACGTTTGCCTGCACGTGCGTGTGACCACATACACGTGTCGAGTCGAGTCAATTTTATTTTGTTCTTAAACACGTGGCGCCTTTGGCTCACAAATCTTCCACCCAAAGCGCCATCGTCACAATTGTTTGTTTGTGTTTTGTATTCGAGAGTGCGCACTGTGTGTGTTGATGTATGTACGGTTGTGGACATTGTGTGTGTGTCTTTGTCCTTTCTTTCGCACCGTACGTAGCCAACCGTGCTGATCGGAGGTGCGGGGGAAGAACAAGAAACTAAACACAAACGCAGTTCTAAAGAAATTAGTTTTCGTTCTCATCTCAGTGGATGGGGTGGTAGCGTTGTGGTTAGCACACTGAACTGCGGACTCCTGCGGTCTGGGTTAGATCCCCTGCCAAAACAGAACCGGTCCTGGGCCTCCCCTAGATCGACTCAACCACAAAAGAGCCCCTGGTGCAGTGTGTAAACATCAGAGGCGGCCAGGCGTGGTGGTGCTAGCCACACCACCACCTCCAGCTTCGTTCCGGCCTGCACATGTGATGGCTAACAGAGCTTTCACCAGCAGCCTGTTAGAGGCCACTCAGGGGATCTTTGACTTTGTGTCATCGTGTGTATGCACACACACGTGTGTGTGCATGTGTGTGCATTCTTGTATCAGTGTGCCCTAGAGGGAGGTTTGGGGCTGGCTGCCAGCAGAGCTGTGCATGCCGCAACGGCGGACTGTGCGACACAGCCAACGGGACTTGCACTTGCGGTTTGGGATGGACTGGTCTACACTGTGAGAAAGGTGCGTGTGTGTGTACGTACGTGTACACTTCTCCCAAAGCTGTTTATTCTCATGCCAACATTCCGAAACTTCAACTCCCTTATTAGCACTGTTTTCATGGTGTAAAATATATACATGCATATATCTGCATACGCTGCACATTAAAGTGGTCAGGTTTCTCAAGCAAAAGCTGCTTTTGTTGATAATTCTATAACTTTACTCGTAAGAAAAACGTGTAAACTACACGTTTAAACTACTTCCAAACGTGAAGCTGCATCCCTCCTTCCTAGCATTTAAGTTGGACGGGCAATCACCTCCATTGATGGTGGTGCTGTGAATTGCACATGTCCATAGGACAACAACCATTGTCTTACTTAAAAGCGGTAACTAACTGAAAATTGAGTGAGTGAGTCGCTTCGTCGGAGCAGACGGAAATGCGCAAGACATTGTCACCCGTCACAATCACCGCATCTTTGCCACGCCTGAGGCCTGTGCTTCTTTGCTACAGAATGCCCCGAAGGTAAATACGGCGCCGGCTGCCAGGTCAGCTGCCCCTGTCGGAACAACGGCACTTGCGACCGCTTCACTGGCTGCTGCAAGTGCCCGGAGGGAGTCTACGGACACGCTTGTGAATACGGTAGGCCCCTGCGGATTTCGTCCCAGGATAAAGGGTTTAGGGACTTCAAATTGTATTCTCGTGTACGATGGCCATATGCTCGTGAGCTAAATGCCAATGTCGAGGGTCTGCTAGCTACCAGGAGAGGGCTTCACGAGAGAGATTGTGTAGTTTTGCTATTTCTCCCCTGTTGAAGGAGTGCAGACCAGCAGTTATTTACTATTTGGTCCATAGTTTTAGGTTGCATGGCCACAATTGCTGATACGGGATGAGGATTTGCATGCACGCAGTGATTTAAAACTAAAGTATTTTTTTTTATTCTTTGATTCTTTCGGTAAAGTAACGTAGAATGAGAATAAAATAATAAAATAAAACAATAAAATTCTCACGACGTTTTTATTTTACTAGGTAAAGCCTTGGCTTAAAGCTTTCGTGTCTGCAGGAATTCATATTCTTTGGGTCTTTCGGTAAAGTCACGTAGAACAATTTTTTTACAAAAAACTACGACGTTTCGATCGCAACACAAGCAATCGTTCTACGTGACTGAGCTATTAGTTTTTTTTCAGAAGCGACGTGGCCACAAATCATAGTTCAGCGAAGTGACTTATCACGTGGACATTTCTAGCAGCCAAATACTCTAAACACACATTTCTAAATGTGGAGGGAAAAACCGGAGGACCTAGAGAAAAATCCATGCGACCACGGGAAGAGAGAGAGAAAATGCATACTCCAAATATAGAGGCATCAGGATCGGGATGGAGCCCACGACATCCTGCGCACCAGGCGAGGGAGATAACATCTCGCCACCGTGGCACCCCCATTTAATTCTGGAGCAACTCAAAGTGTCCTCCATCACATTTTATCACAACCATTTCAATGACCTGCTTTAGTCTGGCTAATAGGACCCCCACAGTGGCAGCGATGCCTGTGTGGCACAAGGTGTAACCAATTGCTGACCTGCAATCGTCTGCCAGCAGTGGACGATGTTGCAATGTTTTTTTTTCTTCAATTAAGTAATTTTTCGAGGAGTTGAATGTAGTTTGGTTATTTTTTTACCATGACCCCCAGCACACATGGCCTACTTTTTTCAAATAACGTCACAGGATCTTTAAATTCCATTTTGAAGTAAGCCGGAGCACATTCATGATTAATACACCTGCAGCATTAACCATGGCCGGCTGCTTAATAATAAACCGCGTAGTCACTGCGTTACAGTGCCCCTCCACTCAGACAAGCAGGGCTCAGTGCACATCTCCTGTTTACAGCCTTGAGCTAGAAGTGGAAATTCCACATTCTTATGAGGGAGGGTGAGGGGGGTTCACAGGACAGTCACTGTTGACCATCCACAAAATGACACCGTTTTTTTATGAGTGAATACCATGCACATTATCAATACAAATTCAACATGTGCTGAAATCCACCCACCGTCAATTTTCTCGATGTCACGTATTTCCCTGCTACATCTGGCCTATATGTCTCTATGGGCAGCAGAAGAGCATTGCGCAGAAGCCGTTGACGATGTTGGGTATCAGCTTACGAGTTTACAAGATCATCTCTCCACAATGGTGGCTCGCCTGGCGAATACGCGACGCTGTCATGGTTGTAATGCAAAATAAATACCCCATTAGTAGTCGCTCGCAACCGTAAAAAAACATTATAATAAAAAAAGCTGCTCATCGCCTAGTTTCCATAAAAAGACAAAAGAAGTATTTTTTTTACCACTTATTGAGGCAGAGATTTAGCTCACTGCACGAGTCTGCTGACATAATAAATGAAAGGGGGACTTGTCGTTTGCATCAAATTAAATTGTAATGCCCCAGTTTTCTTTTTCACAGCGAACTTCATCTGTATAAAAACATGTTTTCTTAACAATGATTGATATATTAATCATGATTTATTTATTCACGAGAGCCGCAGAGTGTTAAGACTCTTTTTCATGAGGGTCTTGCATTATTTTTATTTTACGATGTTGTTTCTTAATTCAAATATTTATTTTAAGATATTTTAGGCCAATTAATGATGAGTAAATTTTGATTTAAAGCTTTCGTGACTGCAGGAATTCATATTCTTAGTTTTTTCCGGTAAAGTCACGTTGAAGAGAAACAACAAAATAATAAAATAAATATTGGTATATTTTATTATTTTGTTGTTTCTCTAAATATTGATATATATTATTATTTTGTTGTTTCTCTTCAACGTGACTTTACCGAAAAAACTAAGAATATAATGATGAGTAGTTATACATGTGGGAGGCAACCGGAGTACTCGGAGAAAAAAAAAAACACAGGTGTGAGGGGGCAACACTCTATCCCCATAGAGAAGGAAGCAGGTGGTGATTAGACCACCTCCTGATCTCGTCAAAGAGAATAAACTGTAATGCCAAACTCCGCTCATCCTCGCAGCAGCGATTTTTGGCTAATCATCGAACAAAGTTACGTGTTGTATACGTTTATGGCTCTTCCTTGCCATAATTCATTGCTCTGCGAGTTAATGACCAATTCAAATGGCATTGTACATGGTCGACATTTAAAGATTCCACCATTCAAAAAATACTTGACCCATCACAGTAACACAGCACGTGTTGGCTTTGCGAACAGATGAGCTATTCTCATTGAATGGATACAGAGTAAGTATCGTGGTGAATTCTTAAAAAAAAAAAACAAATGTTGAGCTTTTGGCGTCACCTGGTCCAACACCATGTGAGACTAGGCTCTAAGGAAAGCTGTCTCGGGTGTGGACCAATCAATTTAAAGGTCAGTGCACACATTATCAGTTATGTTTTTTGTTTGCATTCCGACCGCAGGTATTGTGGTCAATGCAAACATGACTCCTTGTAAAAGAAGGTGTCAGTTTTGTTGCCGGATAAAAGGGTAAAAAAAAACAATTATCATGTTTTGCTACTGGCAAAGAAGGTTCCAATGGTGTAAATGTTGTGCTTGTTCGTCTCGACAGAATGCCCACCTGGATTCTTTGGCCTGAACTGCATGAGGCCCTGTGACTGCAGAAACGGCGCCCTGTGCCACCCGGTGACGGGGCAGTGTGTGTGCCCAGCAGGGTACCATGGCTCCAAGTGTGACCATGGTACGTTGAGCAATGTGTAGGGCCATTTCATCGTGCAAAAAAAAACATAATTCCCTTTTCCCCAACCGTGCCCTAAATTAAACACATACACTGTATTCTCCGGAATATCATGCCCCATGTTCTTCTCCAATTAATATAAAGCAAAAGTTGGGAGTGCGTCTTATGAACAGCCATGAGGCGCTGTTATTTCATACCGGGGATGCCAATTGTCAGTCTGTGGAGAGCTACGTATATTTACACACGACGTATTTATCCATTTAGTCATTGCCTCTTTCAAAACGACCCAAAGATTATCTGGGAAAGCACTCATAACCTATCAGCTGGATATTGTTTCCGGGCTCACGGTTCCGTAACGATAACATTTGTTATAATCTACGTCTCCAACAAATACGGTGCTCTTCCCAAAAGTTGTAACATGCTATTTCATTCCCAGCTGGCTTAAACTGCCACAAGCACTGTACACGAGCTCACTCTAGCTGCAGATTTTATGCAGCCCTGCACAACATGGATAGTCAGCTCTTGAATGTATAGGTACACCTCATGACCTTTATTTATGTATATAGATATTGTGTGTGTACAAAAAAACGTAACACCTTATATATTCGCACCTCCGAATGGCACGGTTGGCTTCGTATGGTGTGAAATAAGTTCAAGATACATATTCTAACCAAACATTCCCTTATAAGCTGAAGGATTTATTGTATAACCACGTTACATATCAGGTAAAGAATGTCTGAGTGTAGAAGGGAATATATTTCTTTTAAACGTGGAGGAAAGTAACGGAGGGGTGCGGGAATGAGAATAATTAATCCATGATTATCCACCTTTGTGTCCAGACCTCTGTTCCAATTTGCACGACCACGCTGATGCCTGGTGATGTCTTGTTGAATGCTGACGTTATCTTTAAATGTGTGTTTTTTTTCCCCGCTCCTTCGTTCGTTCAGAGTGTACCGTTGGCACTTTTGGAGACAAGTGCCTGAGCAGATGCGACTGTGTGGATGGCTCGCAGTGCGATCATGTCACGGGCAAATGTCTCTGTCCTCCGGGCAAGGCCGGTGACAAGTGTGACGTGGGTGAGTTAGTCCGAAATAGAGCCACTGGTCTCGTACTATGTTTTGTTATCTCATTTTATATATATAAAAAATATTTTACAATACAACATCACATATCCGACTTGATGGGGACTTGAGGTATATATAAGGTGGATATGTTAAATGGTCATATATGTGAACATATATAAGAATGTTATGCTTACGCCATGCACGATTGTCGCACTGGGTGTGGCGAGATGATTGAACGGGGCGGATATTTGACTATCGGATATGCGACGTCCTGCTGTAATATATTCTTGTTTTCGTTCCTCGTCTTACCTTATCTTTTACTGCGTTATTTGATGACGTACATTTATCGGCACGGATTTGGAAGAAAAACTGATGACGTACGTAGACGTACATCATCAGTACGTCATCGGAAATGGAAAGGGTTAAGTCACTTATTGCGTGTATAGCGCTTTGAGACGCAGTGCTCTGACAAAAACAAACAATTAACATTATTATTACTCTTTGGTTCTTTTGCTAGTCACATAGGTATAAAATAAAATAAATCACGACGTTTCGTGAGCAGCACAAGCGTCCGTCATCAGGTGGAAAAGCATGGTCTGCTGCTGATTGCACCACTCTTCGATTTCACATTAACATGCTAATCTCTCACATTAACATAGCCACTTCCGTGCCCTCGTCGAAGAGGCCACTTTCCTATCTTACAGTTACATGCCAATTTCTCGCATTAACATCACGAGCCCCGGCCACTTCTTTATGACCCTTGGGCTACACCCATTTCAAACCTTTTAAAACAGTCTGCGCATCAGCAGCAGACCATGCTTTCCCACCTGATGATGGACGCTTGTGTTGCACCCGAAACGTCGTGATTTATTTTATTTTATACCTACGAGACTTTAGCGGAAGAACCAAAGAGTATGGATTCCTGCAGTCACGAAAGCTTCAAGCCAAGATTATTATTATTATTATTATCGTGCAGCATCTCTGGGCAATAACACATTTGCGCTTATAATGAAATGATAATTACTGTTCACAGCATGAATGTGAATCAGGGGCTTTTGGATAATACAAACAAATGATCACATGGGTGCATCTCCTCTGCCCGTCTGCAGATTGCCGAGTGAACCGATACGGGCCACATTGCTCCTTGACGTGTGAATGTGCCAACAAGGCACTGTGCAACCCTCGCTCTGGAAGCTGCAGCTGTCTCTACGGCTGGGTGGGACCTACCTGTCAAGAAGGTACTCTCAGACAGACACTCGCACAAATACAAAGGTACCCTGTGCAGCCATTCAGAATGTTGGGGAGGATAGCGTGAGTGACCACCTCTTCTAAGACCGGCCTGTGGGGTGAAAGGGTGATGTGGCGAGCAACACGCACGCCTGAATGCCTTTGTCTGGCAAGTGCAGTTATTAAAATGTCTTGCCAGATACTCCATATAGGCTAAGTCGACCGCTAGACTCTCATGTTAGCTGTGGACAGGGATACAACTACAATCGTTGGGTTCGTAGCAGTGTATGCTAGTTTTAAGGAGCATTCTTCTTGGCACTTTTGGTGAACTCATTTTGATTGCCGTGCATGTAAAAATACTGGAATATCTTTGCATACAAACAACCTACTCATGTGTCGGTTGCATGTCATGTAAATATGGATACAAATAGGTGAGCAATTCTATTGCTGCACGATGACTTACTGAAAAGGTTGGATTTGGGAGCATCTCCATGAAATCAGTTACTCCAATGGGTGAGGGCAATTCAATTGGTCAGGGTTGTTTGACAGTCGGATGTGCAGCAATTGTGTTCTTCCCCCACACCTGCCATGAGCACGATTGGCTATGTACGGTGCGAAAGAAGTCCCACATACACACATATGACCTCAAGAAAAGTGCTACCAAAGATATATATGAATAACGAATCGTATGTGTTTTTGTGCATTGTTCCGTACAGGTGGACCACTGCAAACCCAGCTCTGAATGAATGTAGCAACCTGCTCTCTCCTTCACCAGGACGGTGACTGCTCGACATGCAGCACTTGTGCCGTTGCTAAAAAAAAAGAGAAAACATCTAATTGATGACTCGCAATGTCAAGAAATATCACGGTGTGGCACATCCGAGAGAGAAAAGTGGCCTATTGTAGACTGACTGCAGTGAATTTCTAGTTGTACTGATACCATGCTGTTTACTGGCCTCTTTTGTATAACACTTGAAGTGAAATGTTACTGGAAATGATCACGTTCCTTTTGTTTTTGTTTATGTCCACTTATGTCACTGACGGATGCGTGTGTGAATTGCATGGAGGAAAGCCATTCTGTTTGTAGCCTTACCTAGAGGTTATTTCCGTACAACAGCAACACACACGGAGATATACACAAAGTCATTCTTGTTTTCCGTGTTCAGTATTCAATACTTTTGGCCAATACATCACCATGGTTTAAATTCTTTTTTATGCCGAGTCTTTAATACCCAAACGTTAATACTGATCCAAAATATTGGTTCAACATTTGTCTTGTTTCTCAAGGAGAAATAATAACAATGATAATATATGCATCGTTTTATTTTATTGTTGCATTCAAAAGGGAGTTCGTTGAATGTCCTAACTGACAATATTAAGCAAACAGTTAAATGAACAAGTAAACGTTTTTTTGTTCATAGATTATCATCAGCCACAAGGGTAACATGTATTTTTTTACACTTTTATATCTAATGGTGGGTATGATACGAGTTATCAATATCGCAATTTATTTTAATTCTCTTAATGCAGCGTAGAAAAATAGACACACACAGCTTACGTGTTTTGTTTCACGATTGAACTTTTTAAACATGCCGTTTTCTTCATTGCATTTATTTCCTCCCATATGCCACCCAATTGTGCAATGGAATTCATCTTCTGTGTTATCATTAACGTTAAAGTCTCATGGGAAAAAGTCTGTATTAAAATCGCGTGCGATTTTTTTTTAATTGTGCACTGAAGAAGTTCAAATAAAATGGAAGGATGAATCTGGAATTTGTAAAGTAATTTGTTAACATTGGAATAAACCCCCACTTTAAACATTGTGCAATTGATTTTGAGGAACACTATGAAATTGTTTTGCGATATCCAGCCCTGCTCATCAATAAATTATGGAATTTTTACTGCTATTGTATCTACGTAAAAATAAGGATTATTTTTTTGGAACCAAGATATAACACCGACACACAAATCCCCAACAAAAGAGTCAATTCACATATATACCAATTCATTGCCTTAGACAAACATTCTCATCTTAAAACCCGAGTAAAGAGAATCTGTGAGTTTCTAAAATCCATCGTTAATTTTTGTAATTATCGCTGTAAAATGTTTACAGCTGAAAGACCCTCCAATCAATGCAGCCAAACAATTTGTATTGCCGTGCAGGCATACAAGAAATGTACTTGCCAATTTTCATTGTTTCAGCTCGGCGATGAGTTGAAGAACAATTTTGACGACCAAGATTGGCAATTAACACGACGTTTAGCTTTGATACCACATGAAGCATCTTCATTAAATTCTGAAAGTCAGAATACAAATGTAGGAAGTCGGAATTGACGATGCGTTAAGTTTCTGCTAGTTGGCAAAACTTTGTACGGTATTTAGCATCAATTTTTATGAAGTGTTGTACCGTATGCCATATCGAGTAGGCAGTGTTAACTGTGCGTGATTTAGTATGAGGTTAAATGCCTGATTACAGTGGTAGTATTCCTTTGTTATTTTGTTACATATTTTGTTACATGTTTTGTATAAATCCTAAATAGTATTCGCTGCAATTAATTACAATGTTTAAGAGTCCCTATGTTTTGCAAAAAGAGTCCATTTAGACTTCCATCTCTCGTAACTTGACAGCTTTTTCAAATTGCTACGTAATTGCCCAAATGGGGAATGTACAATAATGTATGAAAGAGTTCAACAAAAGCATAGAAGCAATGGCGTTCAGCAAATGTAACAAATGACACAATGCGACAAGATAATGGCATTGTGGTATTCTTAGAGGCGGAAGAAATTTCAAGCTATTTCCGCGAACATTTCCCGTAAAATTCTCAAAAATTTCCAACCCCCATTGTGAGTTAAATGGAACGGGTCTCTCACATTCATCCACACATCCGGAACATCCTGTGAGAGTGCATTCTGAAGCCTACAGAACTGTATATTGACATTGCTTCTGTAGAAGACTGCTATAGGCATACAGCTACACATGAATGTGCCGTTTTAGATGTGCACTTCGTTTTTTTACGCGTTTTTTTGGGGGGTATCTTCGTTGTACATCTCCCTCGGGACTTTTCACAATTTAAATTGACACACGGCGGTGATGAATGCCATCTGAGCTTCATCAGTGTACATACCACGGTTTGTTGTGGGAAAATGTGTAGTACATTGTTGGACAATTAAAACGGTTGGCACTGGTAACACTTTATTGGTTCTCCGAGGTTGATTGGCTTTGTCAATGCAGTGCTTTCAACATGTTTTTTTTTCCATTGAGACTGCCACATTAGCACGGTTGGCTATGTACGGAGCGAAAGAAGTTCAACATACACGTACATTTACATGCCGATATCTTCCGCTGTCACGCGATTGTTGAATTAGAAGTAGTTGAACAGACACCGTTGTTTTTAACATCAGGCTGAACATCACGAATCTGGCTCAAATTAATGATTCATGATTCAATATTGAATACATCTTTCAAGATTTTTCAAACTGGTGCCAAAATACCAACAGTTCAGACCATTTGATATTGCTCACGTAGCAAGTGTTAAAACAGCGAGATCATAATGTCACTGGATATGTAAGAAACCACGAATGCATCGCAGAAATAAAGCAAATAACAATTACCAAATAAATGCATGAACGTTATGTGCATACATGCAATACCACACAACACGCACGCTTATCGTTAACACTCACAATATATAAATGCTACGTAGCTTCTCTAGATTTAAAGCTTTCGTGACTGCTAGGATCCATACTCTTTGGTTCTATTGGGTAAAGTCACGTAGGTGAAAATTAAATAACAAAAAATTACGACGTTTCGGCCACAACACAAGCGGCCTTCATCAGGTCGAGACTGTCTGGAGGACAGCGCTGTCCTGATGAAGGCCGCTTGTGTTGTGGCCGAAACGTCGTGATTTTTTGTTATTTTATTTTCACCTACGTGACTTTACCCAATAGAACCAAAAAGGCTACGTAGCTTCTAACTAGTCCTTGGTACACGACATGGAAATTAAACAACATTTGGATCCATAACCCAATTAACCTTCTGATGCGATGTTTTCCAGCAGTTCTTAAAAAAAAACGCGTAAAACTACATTTATTTGATGTCATGAAACGGGACTTTGTTTCTGTATTAAACGGCATATGCAACGTCTGTGTCGTAGTGCCCGCAAAAATAAGCTCTACATAATTGATAATCGCCTTTAATTGCGCACTTGAATACATCGGTTTTTTTTACTTTTGTATCTGGATTACGAGTGTGAAAAGTCAAACGTAATTTTACAACGAGGCATCACGACACACGTGTGAGAAACGCAGGTGCTATGCAGTATGCATTTTGTCCAAAAGCAATGCAATGTGATCCCTGGGTAACTGTCCACATTAAAGATATAACACTTCATGCAGTCATCGATCAAAACGTATTCCTACACTCGCAAAGTGTATCTGTAAACATTGATAATGTCCAATGCTTATAGCAACGTCGCTTTAATATGTTAATTCCACTGTGATGTATATCCTACACACACTATAAGGACAAAACAAATATAAACATTTGTGGATTAAATCGTTAACATTGACCATGATGTATAATCGTTTTTTTGTGTAGGATCGCTTAAGTTAAATGTGTGTCGAACTCCCCCTTCCACCCGACACGGGGCAATTAATAACGTTGTAACGTGATGAACAAACGCGCCAAATAATTACTGCTTTAAAAAAAACAGTGCGTTGGACAGCAATCGACGTACATTTAACAATGCAACAATTGTTAATTTGTTGTCTGTGTCGGGTGGAGTAGGGTATACGACACACATATTACCTATGCAGTCTGACCCAAAACTTAAGTGCGAATCATATTGGTGGTGAAAGGCTGCGGGGGTGAAAGTGACCGAGATTTCACGACGGATTGTGGATCGTGTGATTCGTTGTATCCCTCTTGTTACGCACTTGTTGACGTTGTTTTGCCTATTTCCTTTATTGCTTTAAAGTTATGAAGCTCTATTACCATCGATCCTTCCTATAATGTCATCGAGAACAATTAACAATAAATATAATTGTTTTTTTTTATTTTGCTCGGAAGGGTGTGGAAGGGGTGGCTGTGATGAAATGGTGCTTTTTTTTAGTCCATGAAACATTTTAAATGTTTCACACTTTTCCTTTTTCAGGGATTTGATATTTAAACAAAATAATATTGAAATCTGTACCAATTTCCTTGATCGTAGTTGATTTTTTTTCGTCAGATGGCATAAGTAAAATGTGTGTTGTACACCCTCCTCCACCTGAAAAAGCTAATTGTTGCATTGTCACGTGAGCAATTGTGTCATTTTACTGCCTCAGCGCCTCGGTGTGGTAATTTGGCTGTCGGGATGCTGCAGGGTGTACAGATACATTTTACTTATGCGACCTAACCCAAAAATCAATTATCAATCTTAATATTGGTCGTGAAAGCCTACGTATTATACTAATTTCAATGGTAATTGTTGACCCATATTTACTGACATAAACAAAATGTTGAGATATTTTTGTTTTTACAAATAATCATTTATTTCTGTGTTTGCATAACATATTTGAAAGTTTATTTAGCAAAATGTATGCCATTTCTGAAGACTTTCTATGCTTGCTGATGAAAGTGGCTATTTACGATGCCACATGTATAATGTATGTAACTGTTCCATTCCCATGTTTACTCTCAGTTTTCCGTTCCATGACGTAATTAAGGATCTATGCTTGCTCAGTTGTTTATAAATATGGGGAAGTCTTGCTTACTATATTTTATATTGTAATATACACTTGAATCCACAGATAGGCACACCCGTTTACGTGAATTCCTTTAAAAGGGCCTGAGACCGTTCCAATCCTGTCAATGAATGTGTATTGCACACTTCACCAAATCGTATGCAACTAATAAACTATATAAAACATGTCACCAATATTTTGGAAGCTAAAAGTGTAACCAAAACCACTCCCCCATGTGCTAAAACTCTCTAAATCCCAGTAGATAGTTTTGCCGCTTGCCTTATTCATGTAGATGCAGAAAGGCTTTCAGAAAAAAATGTTTTAGCGATCAGTTTTTTGAGTTTTACGGTGAACATGAAGGTGGCTTACAAGGTTAGGTTTGGCCAGGGGCCACTAAATCATTAGTTGACTTCTTTGTCATATTGAATTGGCAGTGGTGTACACGCACAGTTGTTAAAAGCTGAACACATTTGTCAATGACATTGCCTTTTATGGAAAATGTAATAATTGGATCGTAAAATGGCCCAAGGAGGGCCTTTGTGCAATGAAGAAGGACCATTGCCAGAAACATTGCCTATCATATATATTTATATATATGAGGGAAACGTTGTTGATGGATGTGTTGAGTTTTGCTTACGCATTATTTGGTGTAGTTTTTTTGGAAATAACCTTCTTTGTATTCAAACATAACGTTTAAATATAACAGCACGGGTTAATTTATCGATTGCCAATTGATTATGTGCTTTCACAGCCAGTTGTCTGTGGAAAATGTTCATCATCATCTTACGTATTTACATAAAATTACCAACTAAAAGAGGGTCTTTATTCATCCGTTACATGTTTGAGGACAGTGATGCAGAAACTTTGGGTTTCTCATGGCAAAATTAAACATGTCTAATATCAATACAAGGCACAAAACATTCTAATACACTATCATGTGGTGAGATATAGCACGATTATATTTAATTTAACCTTATTTAGTTCGTTTTCATGAAAATAGATGTCAGAAATTGGTTTTGGAAGTGGGCAATCTTCTGCCATAGCATTCATTTGTTCATATGGGGGTCGTTAGCCACCTGTAGAAAAATTGATAAATAAGAAACACCATTTCTGTTTGAGGAAAAATGACTCATAATCCCACCCATCACAGACTATTATCCTCACCCTCAAACAGTGAGCAGGGATTTATAAAAATGCATCTTAAAGGATATTTCTCTCTCACCTATCTGCATCAATTAATC